TTTCATGCATAAACTGAATTTTCAGATGGGAACCTGTTTACATAAGTGTTCTGGCTCATGAACAGTGACTCCTCCCAGGGACAAAGATGGGACTGAGATAAAAACAAATTAGCGGCCCAATGTGTCTGGCAGGATGTCTCAAACATTTCCTTCCACCTCACCAAGCTGACTGCTGCCATGATGCTCTCTGTCCTGAGGAAACCCACCATGACAACCCTCCTGTGTCACCAAAGAGCCATCTACAGCAAAGCACCACAGGAGAAGATTGGACCTGGGGTATGAGTTGTATATTTTCTATCATAAGGGACTAAATGAGCGGAAATGAGGAGACCAGAGCAGTATAAATACATTTGAGGCTTCTGAGGCCTGTGTTCACACGTCCTGCTGCTAATCCTGAAGTTGTCTTGAGTTGGTTCGTCTTTCAGACTGGGTTTTGTCAGGATCTAATCCAAGGTTAGTTTCAAGTACAGATGCTATTGTGTCCGTGTATACAAGAACGCAGCTGCATTAGAACTGACTGGTTTACCTCAAATAAATCAATACACCGCACTTTAGAACCACCTCTGTTTGCTGTCAGTAAGAATAACAATAATTTATTACAACTTTAGATACCTACTCTTTACATTGAAATTTTTCTTTTTTTTAGAATGGATTCTATTCTGTATTGTCCCCAGAAAGCGAATTGTATAATGCCTTTTTGTTATAGATAAAACCAGTGTGTGTTTTATTTGTATTTTTGTATCAGTTATCAAAACTGATAACAAAAATTTTTGTTGTTTAAATAAAATGTGTCCCCACATTTATTCATTGTTAGCCGTTTCAAAGAGCAGATACATCACACATAATGTATATTAAATTAGTTACTTGTCCTCTCCAGCTGTAGCCTGCCTCTCGTCACTGCCAGAGAAGGAGCCTGGTTACAGTACTAATCGCCCCCAGAACCATGAAAGTGATAAATAACTCTAAATAAGTATTACGGTGCACAAAAACAAAAAAAATGTTTTCAGAAACAACAATTAGTCGTGTGAGTTACTACAGTATATGAGTCTATGGCATATGATACTTCCTTCACTAAATCACTAAATGAATACCAGCTGGCTCTAATTATGGACAAAATATGAAAGTAAACTAAAAATATCATGACTAAAAAACCATTATCCCAGAAAACGGGCTCCAATTACAGCTCCCATATGGTACAAGACATTGAAATGCATGTACTGTGAATGAGTGAGCTGTTTCTCCAAAACCACCAAGACACAACCAGTAACAGTAGGCCATTGTCAAAAATATGAAACGATTGGTTATGAATGTTTTTTTTTATATAATTGTCTTTATTTGCATTATTTCAAGGTCTGACAAGTCATGGCAGATGACAATGACAATTCAAAACAAGAAAAAAGATACCCCAGCTACAGCCCAAAAAAAAACAAATAAATGTTCTCTGCATTCAACAAAAATCATACGGCATCAGTCAATAAAACAGTTAAGGACAGGACACAGACAGAGTCAAGACATGACGGAAAAGACGACATTCGCTCCCATTCTCATTCAACTCGCTCTGGTGCTCCACTCCTCCAATAAGTCTAACAATGTTTGAAATTATATTTACTTTTAATTTTTAATGGACAGTGTTGGGTTGATTATAGGGCTTCATAAGTTGTTCCCCATACAGAGTTAAATTGTATTTGGTTATTTTGTTCCGCTGACAGGGTTCTTTTAAACGACTGGTTATAAATTGGGCTTGAAGGTTTTTAATGTTTTCACATCCTGTATACTGTTTTCAGATCCATGAGATTCTTAACTACAACTGTCCTTGTTACTTACAAATGTTCTTCCGCTTTATCTATTTGCAGGTTGCGGGGGTAGCACTCAAACAGAGATGCCCAGCTCCCGTCCACACAGACTTACAGCTCCTTATGATCCTTCCTTGGAACAACTCAGAAATAAGTGCCTGGGCCATCTCAACTTGCTTCTCTGGATGTGGAGATGCAGCTTTACTGTCTCTAAGGGAGCTCCTCTCTGCAAAGGAAACTCATTTTGACTGCGATCTTGTAACTGAGATCTTGAACATTTCCACAAAGCTTTTGATGTGAGGATGGGAACTTAGACTGATCGGTAAATCTCCTTTATTGGGAGAATCCTGGCCCCAGATGGGGAGTGGCAGAGGGGTTATATAGAGGGAGGTCTGGGTGTCTCTGCTAAGACCGCTGCCCCCGAGATCCGGCAATGGATAAAGTGGAAGATAATGGATGGATGGTATCATGGCCTTGGATTTTCATCTCATTCTGTCATCACCGAGTCGAGTCAGATCACACCAAAATTATGCAGTGTATCTGTGTGTGTGACCTTGGTCAGTAAAATGTGCTTTATGAATTAAGATGACTTACTTGCAGTGTTGAGATCACTTACTAAACTATAGAAATCCCAGAAATCACATGTTGACGGTATCAGAGTATACAAACCCTTTATTGGCCCTATTACTAGAGGAACTCCAGCGCCGTGTTTTTTCCGTGTCTGCTGAGTGGCTGACATATTTTATTCATTTTTCTATCCTTAAGGCGGCCTGGTTTCAGCTGTGTGTCAGAGTAAGTGAGTGAGTGATGGGGCATGCTCTATGTGGCTTGTGTTGATACCACTAAAACTGTTGATCTGTCCTTTGGGAGCAGCATCGGCCTTTTACAAAGACAAGCAGAGGTTACAAACACTAAAGTGCGATGGGACACAGGGACTGTCATGGCAGGGAGATGGCCCGTAGGATAAAATGATGCGATTGGAGAAGGGTGTTGAAGTCAAAATTTGATGGAGAGAACAGGCGAGGTTGGGTTGTTATGACAACAGTGCCCTGTCCATGTATGGTTTCATATAGATTTACGAATAGATCAGAAACTTGATACAGAAACTTGCAATGAGTTCAAAGTCTTCTCTGTCAGCACATATTTATCTGTCTCCTAACAATTAATGCAGTTAATTTCCCAGTTTTTGGAGCCAGACATGAACAAAAGATTAAATAACCGGCTCAACCAATCAACACAACATGCTTTGCAGTTTGGTTAAAAGCAGTCCCACAATCCCACATGCCCGTCTTCCCAACCATGACCTGACCTCCCAACAGACCCCCCCCTTCCCCAAGCAGAACAAGCACCATCTACACCAGGAGCAGAGGGCTCTAACTGACAAATTGTGATTTTTATAATTATTTATTTGGTGGTCAAGAAAAATACTTCCTCCATATGAGCTGAGTGGTACAAATCCTTGAAAACTGCAGAATTTGTTACAGCTGTAGACTACATTTAGAGAAGACAACACATTTGTTTTGATGCATTAGTTGTTACATTATCTATGCAAGACAAGAATTTCTGAGTTAATTATTTTTACTGCTTTGTGTATTGCAGAAGTCTGCCTTCGCCCTGCTGGTGTTCTCCATAGCCCTCCTGGCTCCGGCTGGATGGATCCTGCATCACATCCCAGAATATCGCAAGAAATCCTCCACTTCTACCTCTGACTGAAACCAGCTACAAATGTGTGGATAAATAATAATAAGAGTTGTGTCTTTCTATTTTCTCACATTGTAGTTCTGTCAGTTTTAGTACTTTTCGTGTTGCCTGGGAGCTGGAGGCATTTGCTTATGCAGGCCTGATCACATGGACAGGATGTTGCTTCGTTTATTATCAGATGTGAAATATTTACCCAAACATTGGCCATTGTGGGAAGCCTGTGACTGTTTGCCCTCAACCTATGGGCCTGATTTTATTGTTTGCTATCCACAGCGCATGAAACATGCTCAGATTGGAAATGATTGCTTTGCTAGGCACATACAGGCTAAATTGTCTGACTAACAAATGGGTGTAACTGATTGCATAAAAATACAGTTAATGCCATATTTGGACAATTCTGGATGGAAACAGCATTTGTGTTTGTATGTTTCTAATGATATGTTTCCCCTTTAGTGACAGTATGTATGCTAATTTTCCTGGGGTCAAATCATTATCCATTAAACATCATTCAGAGTAAAAGATTATAACAAAAATATACGTAATAATAACACATAACAGTTGAGCAATCAGCAGATAATTCATTGGCTACAACGCTCTACATAATACACTTTTCTTTTGTTGTTGTTGAATAATCATCTTTTAAATGTTAAATATGTGTCAATTCTTGCTATTCATTTTGTCCCCCCCATATATTATTATAATCATAATTCAATTCATACATCAATCTGTAAATTAAAGTTGCATAATTCATGGCGCTGTATTTATTCCATACTGTTGGACATGATTATAAGGAAACAGCATTTCCATAGAAACAAGCAGCCTCGGTTCAAGCCCCCAAGTATTTGTTAGTACTTACAACAACAAAAAGATGAATTTGACGCCTTTTATCTTGTATTAAAACAACTCAAAAGGAAGAACAAAAAAATATACATAAATCATGCTTGTATTTTAGTCTATTATTGGTACACTGCCAAAGTTACATTGTGGTGACTGTAACCATCTGTTGCATATTCAGCACAATTCGTGAAATGACTCTCACAGGTGGCTAAATACAGGCACTATTCCCCTGCTTTTCTTGCCTTGTGACCCACTCAAAGAAGACTAGTTTTGAAATCTTTTGAATGACAATTTATCGAAACCCGGATCAGTCCATTTGGAAAGGTGCGCCACGCGTGCTCCCTCCTTTCTCCACAACGCCTTTAAACCACAATGCCATTTTCTACGCAGCTCGACATCACGCAACCCGACGCGTTCATTCGCTCCTTTACGCCCAAAAATACATGTGGAAAACCAGCTTGCATCGTCGTGAAGGGTGAGTGAGCGAGCCCCCAGCACGCAGTGGTACGTCCAAAGACCAGGCTCGCGTTGGAAGCACATAGGGGGGGCATTACCACTTTTTCACGACCCGGGGAAACAGCGAACGCCGGTGAGAGGAAAAGGAAGAAAGAAAAAAAACAATCAAACATTTGCAATCGCGGGCTGCATGTTTCCCCAAGAGTCCTCAAAATGTCTACGAAGGCAGAGCAATGTAAGTACAAGGGATTTATACACCAGTGCATCTTTTATATGCGCTGTTTGGGTCAAGATGTTTGGTTTTGGAGAGCGAAGCGATGGGAGCTGTCCTTGGTGATGAAAACGGCAGGTAGCAACACGTCCTTTCGCTGCGGGATGAGGCTTTGAGAGCTTGATCGTGCTGTTTTTTGTCCAACCTGTTATTGCACAACATGGAATCAATCTCGGACAGCGCACTAATTTGCGTCATGTCTTCTGATTGACGCGCGTAAAAAAGAAAAAAAAAGAGAGGAAAAAAAGGCGAATATGTCTATGTATCATGCGTACGCTCAAGGTCGAGTCTTTTCTCATCAATATGGTGGAGGGAAGATTGATCAGTGGAAATGTGTGCTGGGTTACATTACGGCGACGTTACCACCGCGTTTTTGTGGCTTTTTAATTGAACAGGTGGAAAAGGCTGCCCTCAACTGTAATGGATATTCACCTGCTGCTGCTATTGTGGTTCAATATACGACCAAGTGTAATGGAACATGAGGAATGAGAACACAAGATCCAACTGTCATCATTTGTGATTAAAAAATGGTCTTTCTACAAGCTTGCATTAAATGTTGTTGGTTGGAGACTATTTAAAACATACTAATACTCTGACATGAATCTGTTCGTTTAAAATGAATAACGCAATTATACGTCATGACACATCCAGAGTTCACATTTGAGACTTCTGCTGCCACTGTTTATTTTAATTGTAGTATAGCACATTTGAACCTGTACCCTTTTGTTCATAATAATAGGTTACAGGCTCCTCTAGGGCTTTTGCATCCTCCCTGAACACTAAGGAGGTCGCTTGTTGTAGGCCAGTTGGTATTTTTAGTATTGGGTAACACAAGATGTCTAAAATGCATTTGACTGAATGCTCAATCAATTCTTCTTGACAAACCTGCCAGTTATACTAGTTACTGGGCAATAATAAAGTACAGTGTGTGCCCTTGTGTGTGTGTGTGTGTGTGTGTATTTTTCAACTTGTACTTCTGTATCTTTTGTTTGTTGTATGTGAAGCTGTTTGGAAAATACAATACTTACTCACTTACGTGTTCAAAATGGTGGTTGACTTTATTTTTTCATTTTATCTTGAGTATTCTGGAAACAGGGTTGATCTAACGGTTTATTTATAGATACATGGAATAAGGATACTACATATAATAGATAAAATACATTATAAAAGGATGGACCATGACGAATACAGTGGTTATATGAAATAACATCCAAACAACCTGTTCAAACGTTCAGGCTTCAAAGTTGTCCAAAATAGGCTTTTCCTATAAGAAATATTACAACAGATATTCATTCCAAGCCTGTAATTCATGTGTATGTATATATATTTCTGATTATTCCAGTTGCCTCTAAGATACGATACTTGCAAGAGTATCACAACCGGGTGCAGCACAATATATACCCGGTGCCGTCCGGGACAGACATCGCCAACACTCTGAAATACTTCTCCCAGACTCTGCTCAGGTAAGTACCCTGCACACTGACTATAGGACAGCTCTTACTATAGAACACATGCAACACTAGTTTACTCATGCACAATTTTCATCTTGATTTGAGTTTTTACTGAACAAAAATATACAAATATCCAAGTGGGGGAAAAATATCTGTAGTAATATAATAGTTGTAGTAATAATATACAATTACATATACAATTAAACCAGTATCACCTATAGGTCTTCACTGGTTTGAAGACACTGGTTTGGGGACTATTCCTATCCAGGTGATAATCTGTGGGCAACGTTGTATGTGGTTTCATTCTATAGGACATAATAATATAGATAGATAGATATATAGATGGATACTTTATTGATCCCCCCTTCTGGTCCATCCATACGAACAAAATAAATAAATAAATACAACATTCTGAACTCAGCTAATAATAGTATCTCCCAATACCAAGATTTGTTTCATACAAATAATGTTTGTCTATATATAAAAAAAAACAATATGCATAAAACTGTTTTCTTCATTGTGTTAAGGGGTGCTAATCACTTTTATACACACGCAAACCCTTGATAAATGAACCACATCCTATTGATCCGTCAGAAGTGCTGCTATGGTCTTCTTCATATGACTAAAATAGACACTGTTTGCTTTAGTGATAAATTATTGGTCATAAATATACTCATATTATAATTGCTATCTGTCAATACAGTCGTAATACAGGTGCTATTTGTGTGCTCTGGGATCAAAATTAGAGCTGTACAAGATTATTATAAACAGCTACCATGATTATTGTGACTGGGCAAGGTTATAGATTCAATTTCAAATGTGTCTTGATAAACCATAAATGCAGGTTTCAATATTGATTCTATAAACTTTAAACAGAAATCATTGAAAAATACAGTCCAACGTACTTGACTGCAATGGCTGTCGATCTTTCCATATCTCTCAATACCAATAATACCAGTAACAGTTCAATTTATTTTCAATATTCATGTTTTCCTCAAACCTGTCACTGATTTTATTCACAGCCATATATTGATTTCATTGTTTATTTATTCGACTCAAATCAAGATGAATACTTTGATCCGCATCACCACTCACACTGACACACATACGCCATTAGACAGTGAGGCTGCAGTGGCTCAGAACGTGCAGGAGGTTGCGCCGAGAGCCGAGCGTTGATTGGTTGCGGAGGTGATTGATAAATAGATAAAATCGAGCCGTGTTGCGTCCTTCCAGAGGGACGACCAAGGGCCAGCTCCTCTGAATGTGCAGTTACAGGGTCAGTGTGCTCCCCTGAGAACAGCGAGAGAAGGGGGTGATGGAGGGTAGAAGGAAGACCCTGACATGTCCTGCTTCAATACAGGTCAAGCAGCAGCCATTTTGGATGTGTTGATGTCCCATGAGGTTCTGACCGTGTTCTACCGGCTCAAGCTATGACTTTCAAAGGCATGTTTTAGCACAACGTGTGATGGGTTGGTGCTAGATCATTGGAATAGTGGTATCAGAATAGTTAGAAATACATGTTGTGAGATTGTTTTTGTTTCCGTTATTGCCCACCCCTTCTTGAGAGTTTATTGTTGTCTATACATTTGATTGTCTGGGTCTAAAAATCACCATATTGTTACAAAGGCATGATTTTTTGATACATTTGAGTGCAGATTTATTGACACGGTCTTCTTGTGAACTTGTGGCTCATCAGAGGGAATTGTGTATTCATATCGGCTGCTCACAATAACTACTACTTTTTTTTCTTTATAGTGGGGAGAGTGTTGTTTTCAGCTGGAGATGGTTGAATTCTGCTAATGGCTTTAACAATCCAGATTTAGCTTACTCGTTGTTATGTCAGTTGCAATATTGCCAAGGTTGTTTTTGTCCCTAATTTGACACATGAATGAAATGAAAAGTTCTATAGGGATTGGGCTTTTTACTCAGTTATTATTATCATACGCATATCAAACCCCCCCCAAAAAACATAACCAAAAAACAATGAGAAATCCCGTTCTTTATCATTGTGATTCTATATTGTGCAGTTAAAGCTGAGGTACCTAACTTTCAAACTACCAAGCAATTTTACTGCGTAAATAAACCCATATAAATTACAATGTGTATGACTTGTATAATTAGATAGTTTTTTTTAATAAAGAGAATTGATTGATTGATATCTAAGTTGTTTGGTTCTTCTGTAAATAACAGACACATGTAAGATAGCAATGTTATTATGTCACATACTCACAAACACGACACAATTAACCACCCTACACTATCCATACAAATAATTCCTTGCTCTCAAAGAAGTTTGGTTCTATATCAATTGTTTTCATGTATTTTTCACAACTCTCAAAACCTTCGATCAGCTTTTTCAGACAGAAAATGTGAAAAAGCCGACCACAGCCAATCAGCTCTCTTTCTTTCAACGAGGTAAAAGAAGCTTTATAGTAAGAGGAAGACAACATGCAACATTTTACTTTACAAGACCCTTCCTGTTGGGACACACAATATATATTATTCATGAAACTAAAAGTTAGGTGCCCCAGCTTTAAAAACAGATAAGAAAATAAAGAAAACCTTTTTATTCTTTTTTTTTTTGGGCTATAATAATTTGTAATCATATTTGAAAATGTCAGCAGGTGCAGTTTGGCAAATATTGGAGTTTGCATTGGCTGAAGGTTGTCTTTGATACATACTGAAGCAATTCTCTTGCTAGTTCGAAACCGACTGTATCCCAAGCAGTTTTGTGGTTGTTGTTGAGTAAGTTTGTGTGACCTCTATGTCTGTCTATGAGCAGACGGAGCCGTCCTCGGAGCATGTGCTAATTTGAGTGAGGTGGCCTGAATCTGCTCTCTGTGATGTCACACGCCTCCTATCCTACACACAAGAGATCATTTCCCATGGATTATCTATGGCTTGAAGAAGGAAAGGAATAATAGGCTTGAGGCAAAGGGAAATTGGCACAAGCCGGGACTTAAAAAGTAGAACGACTGTGTCATATTATTGGAGAGAATAACCAAATGGCCAAAGGTGGTGGTTAGTCACTCATTCATATTCCAGATTTAGTTTTTGTGTGGAGGGAGAAATGTTTTTTGAATGTGACGACGATCCTTCCAAGTGAGAATATTCTTAGACACATGGGTGAGGTGTCATGAATAGTTTAGAGATTTTGATTTAGTGAGAGAACATTGTTTTTGGGACCGGACATGAGTGAAGTGTGGCGGTGGCAGGTGGTGGTAGGCAGATAGAAGCCATGATATTATCCACATTGATCACACAACAGTCTTACTATACATTCATTTAGACACATACAGAAGTAGGTCTGGACAGTAGCCGTGTGTCATGTGTCTGTACAGTGCATTCTACATGTGTTTTGTGTGTCGTACTGTGTTGTGTAGGGGAGTGTGTGTGCAGCGTGTGAGTGAGTGGGTCTGTGTGTGCGTGTGTGTGTCAATGTTCACTGTTAATGATGTCTATGATCAAATGCCGGCTGTGAAAAAGTCATACTCTGAGATGCCTTTCTTTTAATTCAGAATGTTAACTGTAAATCTAGAATGAGCTCTTGCTGTGGAATCCCAGGGTATGACTTTGAAGGGGATACTAGAGAAATGTGTATTTCATGTAAAAAAAAAAGTTTAAAAAAACGATTCCCTTTTCTCACAAGCCGAGATGTGCAATAACATTTGAGGGATCCTTCACAAATATATGTTTTATACATAAATAATAATATAGGGCTATATTTTCAGCAGATAAACTAAAGTTATAAAAGAGCATTGCTCTCTGGCCCTCCTCCTCCCTCTCCCTAGACTCCACACGTTACACTGAGTTTTTCTTTTGTTTTCCTCTCCCTAAATTGAAAGTCCACCAGCTCCCAGGGGACTGCACACACTATTGTCCATCGTACATTAGCTCACAAACATGATGCTATTGACCATCCCTGGTACAACCCTTTGTCATTAGTTCCTCCTTACCCTAGATTAGTGTTACATTTACTTTAGACACCTGAATCCATATGCCTGTTGGATCTCATTCTTTCTTCTGATGATACTGAATAGTATCATAATGTATGCATACAGACATTATTTCTCTGGTGCAATAAACATGTGCTGTGACCTAGCTCTTTGGTCTAACTCACACACATGTTTATTACTGGCTGAAGCATGTTTCAAAAGTGTCACCTCTGTATTTTCCCCAACCAATTTGGTGTCACTCCCATCCTTGACAGCCCCACTAAAGACAAGGAAATTTCATTTGTTTTTCAAAATGAAAATTGGCCATTTTTGCATATTAGCAACTTTCAATTGGACTATGGCAGCCATGGAGGGACAGTCTTTTGCTCTGTCTCTTTTTGGAGAAGTATGGGGTTGCCACTGAAAACATGCCATTTTTTATATTTTTGCTCCTTGTCACCAGATACGCATGAGATGCAGTGATCATTGCCGATTGTGCTCACACGTCAACAACAAACAAAAAGATGAATTGAAGTGCAAAGTCACTGGGACAAATTACCTGAGGCTTTATTGAAGTGACCAGTGAGACACTGCATCCTATGTGGGGCTTATCTGGGTTTGTTTTTTTCTATTTACGCTGTCTCTGTAGTGCCATTTCAATGTAATGTGCTGTTTTTTTGTGTCTTTGTTGTCTCTTTTTTTCCCTTGTTCCCCTCCCCTTCCCTCCCTTGCCCTCCTATCCCTCCCGCCCCGGAGCAGCATTCTGTCCCGCACAGGCAGGAAGGAGAACCAGGAAGCTTCCAATTTGGCCGTGCCCATGACCATGTGTCTTTTTCCTGTGCCATTCCCACTCACCCCATCTCTAAGACCACAAGTCAGTTCCATCAACCCTACAGTTACTCGCTCCCTCCTTTACAGCGTTCTGCGCGATGCCCCGTCAGACCGCGGGGGGCCGGGGCAGGGGCAGCAGAGTCGGGACGCTCAGCTCTCAGAGTACCCCTCTCTGGACTATCAGGGCCTCTATGTGACCCTCGTGACCCTGCTTGACCTGGTGCCCCTGCTGCAACACGGGCAGCATGGTGAGTCAAGGCCCAGTGCACTCTACTCTATGTCATCATCATCTGAGCCGCCTGGCCTGCATGAAGCCACCGCTGCTTTTTTGGCCTCGTTTTTTGTAAACTCGGGAAGAGAGACGCCGTGCTGAGGATATGGAAGCATGCATGGGGTGATGGGGAGCACGCTGGATCCTGTCAACCTAACCGTTCATAAGCCATTGGAAATACACCAAACATAGGCCTTCTTCTGTGTATCATACCTGACTGCATGTTTGTATTGTAAAGTGGAAGAAATGTTCACTTATGTTGTCACATGCAAAAATACAGCAGTTTATAAATACAGTATATGCAATAGGTTAATTTACTCTAAAAAGGCAATGTATGTATTTTGTCTAACGCGTCAGTACATATGAGAATGACATATTTTGCATAATTGCTCTGACCTGCATCATACTCAATGCCGTTTTCATGAATATTTTACCATTGTTATAAAAAGCTTAAAAGCATGAAAAGCCATCTCCTTGAGTAAAATGCTTCGCTTCTCCTGAGGGCAATCCGTGCCTCAGTAGCTGTTAAGGAAAGCACACTGCCCACTTGTTCTTAAACGGTTTTCTCACTGTTAGGATTGAGATGTCATATTGATTTGTCATGTCAGGCTGCATACAGTGTGTGTATACTGTACGTGCAGCTTATTGAATGAGTGTCTGTGTGTCTGTCTTTTTGCCTCTTCCCTCTTTTATCAGATTTGGGACAGTCCATATTTTACACTACAACTTGCCTCCTGCCCTTTCTCTTTGACGATATTCTCAGCACTTTACCCTATACCATGATCTCCACTTTAGCCACTTTTCCTCCCGTCCTTCACAAAGACATCATTGAGTACCTGTGCACTTCTTTCCTTCCCATGGCAATATGTAAGTATGGCTTCTGGTCTCATGGTGATAAAATATTAGGATGAAAAAAAATGAGGCAGGCTTTCACACAAAATATGTATAGATTGGGAAATTGATTTGAGGAAAAAATATCCGCTAATGTATGATATTTGTATTGAAAAATTATACTTCACTTTTTTTATTTTCATTTTTTTTTTTTATTAAAGCTGGGGTACCCATCTTTCACACCATCAAAATGAACTATGCCATAAAATCTACAGGTATCTCCCCATTTCGTAGCACTCTAAACAGTTTTTAGATGACATAGAGGTGAAATAGAGAGGAACATGTTTGCTCCTCTAATCAGCTCTCACCCCAAAGGGTCAAATAGTGATGCACAGGGTTTTTTCTTACAATTTTGAATAATATAACAAGATCAAAGCTAAAGTCAGTTTCATCTATTATTTGTTACAACAATAAAGTTAGCTACCCCAGCTTTGATCAAAGATTTAGTAGATATAAAACCAAGCTTTACTATAGAGATATAGTATAGATAATGTTTATGATAATGTTAAAAAACATGTTTTCAGTTTGGAGCTGCAAAGTGGGCTTCGTTGGTTTCCTCAAACATTTGGTGGATCACTTTTTGAGTCACTTTATCAACTTTATCAATCTTGTGGTATCTCTATCTCTTGGTTTTAGGCACTTTTACCATCAAACTGCATCTCAACCATTTGGTTTTAAAAGAAAAAAAGATGCCATTGTCCTCTTTAAGGTGTGAACATTAAAAATCCCCTTAATGTTTTCAATAAAGTAATTCTCATAGACGATTAAAAACTTGTTGTGGGTTGATCTGCTATCTGGTAAGAAATGACCACACGATCTACATGAATACCTGAATTATGTGTTTCAAACAATAAAAACTGCAAAGTGAAGGGAAATGTTAAGTTTTTAATGGTGTTTCTTTTTGTTTAATCTTTAACGGTTTCTTTTGGCTGTGGATGGTAGTTAGCAGGTAGATAGTTTTCTACCGTCGTGTCTTCAAACTGTTGATATTTGGATTTTTTTTGTAAACTCACAATTTTGTAAACTTGTACATTTTGGGACCTGCTATTTTTGAAAGCTGATATCCGGAGGTTATACTTAAGCTCTGCCCACTTTGTAGCTCCATTGATATGAATGATATATTGCTATACGTTTGCTACATAAATAGTACATTTCTGTATCTGTTAATAACAGAGGGTTGACTGTATTGAACAATATCAGCATGCAGGGGCCTATTATTGTGAAAAAGAAAGTGTTTTTGTGTAGTGGGCTCCACGCGGAGGGAAGGGGGAGTTCCTGCTTATGTGAACCTGTCTGCCTCCTCAATGCTCATGATCGCCATGCAGTACACCACCAACCCAGGTAAACACACAGGGTATACTTACATACAGTAATAACACAAGAACATGGCACTGTACACTGCAATGAGTCATTCACCGTAAGAGCTTTAAGTGTGTAAATTGTTCAGTATCGTATAATTTAGATGAATAAGTATAGATTATTCAGTGGGCGTGTTGTGTTGCGTGTGTGATTGTGTTGGGTTGTGTTGAATGATTGAGGGTTGGAGCCAAATAAGCATCTCAGCCTCTTTTTCAAACGGTTTATTTCTATTTATTTTCATTTATTTTGTATCTTGTTTATTGTTTATATTTTTTACTCTTGCATACCGTTTGAAATAAATTCTTACTATACTATACTATTAGAACATTTATCTGAGGTTATTCCTCTTCAATTGATAAGAAGTAGAATTTCACCAGGACTTTTAAAACCATCCAACTTTTTTAAAATGTATTATTATTTATTATATTTAGCATTAAGAGAACTAGAATCTGAAAAACAATTTACAATGTGTTTTCATGTGTGCAGTCTATCACTGTCAGCTGCTGGAATGTCTCATGAAGTACAAACAGGAAGTATGGAAGGTAATGTATTTTCTATCACATAAACATACAGTACACGTACAGTACATGTTGTAGAAACCCAGAGGAATAGTTTTACACACATGACAAAATTGATGGACCCATTCTTCCATTTTGGAGACTGTTGACCGCTAAAGAAAAAGGCTTGCTAGCTGTTTTAGGTAACTTTTAGTTGCTAGCTTTTTTCCACACTTTGGCTACTCTAGTTATTATAGTCAACTTTATACAAGTCAAACAAGACGATGTTTTTATCAAGGCTGCATGATCACAAATGAGGTCAAAGTTCTGAAACAGGCTGAGAAAAATAACAATAACTTCACAATAGATTAAATAATAGGCTAATGAACTTCATAAAGTATTTCTATAATGTGTGGATTTTATCTGTTAATGGAAGAGGCTTATCTTAGTTTTATGCACAATTTTAATTGAGAATTGTCTTTCATTTAATTTAAACTTAATAATCTATGAACAAATAAAGAAATACGACTTCCAATTTATCTCCAGACTTCAGTTTCCCCTTAACTTTGAATTATCCTTGTCTAGTGCACTTTGAACTTTATCCCAGCTTCACAACAGAAATCACAACAGTAATTGCAATGGTTATCTGAAAATTAGCAAAAAAGTGTGTAGCCCTTGGTTTTTTTCTGGAACATCACTTCACAAATATTTGTTACAAGCCACCATAATAAATACACAATGCTAAACTGTTAATTGCAGCATAGTAATGCATTGTTTTTCCCTGCAGGACCTGCTGTATGTGATCTCCTATGGTCCGTCACAAGTCAAGCCTCCAGCCGTGCAGATGCTGTTTCATTACTGGCCTAATCTAAAGCCTCCGGGGGCCATCAGTGAATACAGAGGCCTGCAGTACACTGGTCAGCCCATTACCAGCTCTATGGCCGCTCTGTGCTCGTCCCTGCACTGACCAAGCCTAACCCAGTCTCTTGCATTCTGCTGTCCCCTCCTCAGCCTGGAATCCGATCCACTGCCAACACATCGAGTGCCACAACGCCATCAATAAGCCGGCAGTAAAGGTGACAATATAACGTATATGAATTAACCTTTAAAGCTCGAGTGCCTAGTTTTTAAAGAACACACAATTAACTATGTCATTAAATCTGTATGAATAGTTCCTCTCTCTCAATGCAGTTTCTATCACTAGTTTTTAAATGCATGTATTTTTGGCCTCTATTATTATTTATGTTGGAACAAAAACAATTTATTTATGATACAATTAACAAGTTAGGTTCTCCAGCTTTATCTTGTAATCAAGGAAAAATCAAAAGCTAATTCAAGCACATTGTGCAAACCATTAAATTGAATGTCATTAACTTCTAAATGTTGAAGAAATATGAAATGAGAGTACCAGTCAGACCCGCCCATTTTTACCGCTCTGCTTCCTGATTAGGGTGACAGGGGCTCAGTTGGTAGAGCACTGGCCTTTGAGCATGAAGGTTGTGGGTTTGAGCCCACCATGGGACCTTTTCCACCGACTCCCACTGATGACTGCTGTCATTGTGTCCTTGGGCAAAACACTTAACCCCACTTTGCCTAATGCCCCCACTGAAAGACCAAGGCTATTCCATAGCCATCCTCCTGTAAACTCACCACCTGCAGGACGATCAGTGAGGGGCTGGTGATATGTGTACTGGGTGGCATCTCTGGCCACCCCCCCGACCCAGAAATGGATTAAGGGGTAGAAAATGGATGGATGGATGGATGCTTCCTGATTGGACAAAATAAACTCCTCAACCACTCTTTCCTCGTTGTTCTAAATATTCCCCAACAAAGAAATTTGGCTGTCAAAGGGACGGACTAGATCAAAATTTAACATTGTTGTAATGGACCAGGTGTTTAGAAATATGCATTCTTTGGTGCACGTGTCTGACAACATCACCTTAAAATGTATTCCCATCCAGTCTATTATTGTAACATAAAACCTGATCCTAATGTTCTCAAATTGTGATTCTGGTGTTTTTGTAGCAGCTAGAATTTCATTGTTTTTCCCCTCATCCCAACTGCTAAAATATGCACTGAATTTTACAGTTGTTAAACATAGAGTAGATGAATAATAAATGTTGTTTTTCCCGACAGAAAGTAAAATGTTGTGAACAAATCAGACCAGTTTACATCAAATTGTGCCTGTGAGTCACTATTTGACGCTTTGGCCTGAGAGCTGATCATTGAGTGGGAGTGGTCCTCTCTTTTTCACTTTTCTGTCTGAACTGAAACTGATCTAAAGATGTGAGGCCAACAACATATGCATGTGAAAACTATTTTTGACCAAACTGCTTTGAGGAAGCAAGGATCTGGATGGATTTTCTTTGGTATTTATTGTCGGTACATAGTTTAATTAGTTGTGGTGTGAAAGTTAGAAACCTGGGCTTTAAGTCTATAGAAAATGAGCATTTTCCACATGAACTCTCCAAAACAGGAAACGTTTTCCAGAATACCTATTTCTTTCTTAAAGCGTGCATTTGTTGAGTGAAGCTCCACTGTAAGCTTGACTGCTCCCTTCTGTTCTGTGACGCTGCTGCAGGCTTTGGTGGAGGCGCTGGCAACTCACATAGTAAATAAATCAGCGAGTACCGAGGCAGCCGCTTGAGTGTGGCAATGATATCAGCTTACTTTAAACACGCCTGGCCTGTCCCTTTTGTTTTATGCGCTCGGCTGGCTTGACTTAACTCAGCAACACGGCTGAAAAATTGAGAAAGGCGAACACGGACAAGAGCCACATTTCAATTACCGGGATGGGGCGGTGGTAAGAGGGGAGGGCGGGATTTTAATTGGATGCGGTGACCCCTTCATCGCCTCTGAGGATGAGGTGGCATCCAACGAGCTTTGTAAATTACAGTGCACAGTCTGAGCATTGAGGACAAGAGGGGTGAGGCTTTAAACAAGGCCAGCCATAGGGAGCAGGGTGAAGCATATGCAGCCACCCATCCATAAACAATGGGAAAAGCATTTTCAACTTAAAGCTGGGGTACCTAACTTTCAAACACAGCAACTGAACCTTGCAATACATTCTAGAACAGTTTAGTTTTATCAAAAGTTTTTACATAAAGGTTTTTACTGATCCTTAGATTAGCTTTTTTGGAGAGAAAAGACTTAAAGGACCCTCACACACACAAGGGTTGTTTCTTTCAAGAGTGTAAAAGACAACATGTCTCTCTCGTTGGTCTCTCTCAGGTCTCCCTCAGGTCGTTCTCTGGTCTCTCTCTCTGGTCTCTCTCTGGTCTCTCTCAGGTCTCTCTCTGGTCTCTCTCAGGTCTCTCTCTGGTCTCTCTCTCTGGTCTCTCTCAGGTTTCCCTCTGGTTTCTCTATGGGCTCTCTCTAGTCTCTCTCTGGTCTCTCTCAGGTTTCCCCCATGTCTCCCTCAGGTCTCTCTCAGGTCTCCCTCTGGTTTCTCTATGGGCTCTCTCTAGTCTCTCTCTGGTCTCTCTCTGGTCTCCCTCATGTCTCCCTTTGGTTTCTCTCTGGTCTCTCTCAGGTCTCCCTCAAGTCTCTCTATGGTCTCTCTCTCTGGTCTCTCTCTATGGTCTCTCTGGTCTCTCTCTCTGGCCTCTCTCAGGTCTCTCTCTGGTCTCTCTCTGGTCTCTCTCAAGTGTCCCTCAGTTCTCTCTCTGGTCTCCTTCAGGTCTCCCTCAGGTCTCGCTCTGGCTTAGTGGTTAGGTCTATACTTTGTAATGACTCTAAAAAACAGCACAGTGATGAAACTAAATGTTGTGGTTACATCATATATACTGTTCTGCTGTCATGCCGCACCACATTCTAATCTCTCGCTCTTGCCTTTGCAGATGTGCATAGATCCCACCCTGTCCGTTGCCCTGGGAGACAAGCCCCCGCCCCTGTACATATGTGAGGAGTGCAGCCAGAGGATCGCAGGGTACGGAAGTGTCCCACCACCATTACCAGTGCGCCCACCACATTATTCCTCCATTTAATGTTGCCATAGTTACACAAGCCACTGGACCCATAATGAGATCATCATTACACAACCAGGCATCATTTGTTTCAGTATGTCTATACAGTTCCTGCTGCACAAATGTACTTTACAATGAGAGGAAAGGGTTCATATACAGTAATATATTCATATGTTGATGTAAAGCTGGAGTATCCAACTTTCAAACAAGCAACAAATAATTATGTCATAAAATGCAACTAACAAGTTCCTGGCGTCCTGGCTCTCAAAGCAGTTTGGTCGTTTTCACATACGCATATTTTTGGTCACATATTTAGATCAGCTTTTTCTGACAGAAAGGTGAACAAGAAGACCACTCTACTCAGCCAATCAGGTGTATGTCATAGAGTATATTTAGACAATGCTAACCTTCTAGCTTAATGAAGCCCAATAGGGAAGTGCTCATGGACGAAGTTTTGCTCTTATTGACTTACATTGTATAGTAAACTCCTTGAGCTCAGTAAATATTTGTGATACATCGACCAATATATACGATGTAGTCATTAAATTCAAAAAGACATATGCCAATCCTTTGTTGTAACAATTATGGCTTAGAGTCCAATTTCTCAATATATACAGTATATATTTGGGTTGTATATTAGGTTCACATTATAAGTTGAATCAAAGAAGTAAATGGACTTGGCAAGATAACATTTTTTATAGAAAGATATAGACAGCATGTTGTGGTCTGATTTATTCACTCAATTGTACTTTTACAAGGCATACAAACAGAGCATATCATTTATGTGGGAAAAAGTTAGATACCCCAGCTTTAATAAAGGTGTACTAAAAATAAATTAACGAGTGCCTTGTTGTTTTAGCGACCATCCGGAATGGCTTGTGGACGTACTTCTACCACAAGGTGAGTAAACACAAATACCTCTATCCAAATCACAGACCGGGAATCTTTTCAGCTGAGAGAGCCAATAATGTCTCATACTTTAAAATGTACTTCTGTGGGGGCCGTACACATTGTTTACTGTGAATTTATGTGATTTAAAAAAGATAATAAGAGCAACATATTAAGAGTTTAATATTAGTTTCAGAATATATTATTTTGTTTACCAAAATGTGAATACTGAAGAAATCAAATTCATAAAAAATTCTTACTATTAATGCCTAATAAGAATTATTTGAGAGCCAGACACAATCCTTAAAAGGGTCATCGGGTCCTGACCTGTAATCATCATTAGTGTTTCAACCCTGTAATGTTCACTCCTTTTTTTATTTTCTGTATTTTCTTGATGATGTTGGACACTAATAGTATGTTTTTTGAACCCCTAGTTTTTATTCTCGATCTAGGCCTTTACCCAATGTTTGAGATGATGGTAAAATTCTCTAAAACCAAGTGAGATGCCCCAAAGAGGTAGATTTAAGTTCAATACATGCAGTTACTCACCATGCACTACCAAATGGTCGAGGAAACCATCAAAAGAGATAAAGTACTATTGGTCGTGTTGCAATGTTTGTTAAATTCTGTCATGAATTTGTTTCTTGCAGCGGAGATATCGGCAATTTGTCAGAAGAAGGTAATACATTTCAATTCAATTACATTTTCATATTTTGACCGATGATTCCAGTGTTCTTCAGGCAGCTTTAACTAGTCTGCATCTTACTATGAACGTTATAGTGAGATGCCCAACCCTACTGTTTTCAAGCCTATGTTCCATTGACTAGAATATAATAATCTCAACAGCTGCTGTAAAATGCTCATAATCTAACTATCGTCCCCAAGATCTTAATCCCATGTCTTTTTCGCATGCTCTTAATTACGCGCTTATTTATTAATGCAACTGTTATCAGCAAAGGCGTCAAATAAATAGAGCACACCTTTGTTGCTAATCTTTGAAGGCGTAATTCACATTATTGTTTGCGCACACAAGGTCATTTATTTCTGGAGCTCATAGGTTTGAATGGAGCTACTGGAGCGTGATGTTTGGAGAATCTGTGGCTCAGGGCAGAAAGCAGGTTTGTAGATAAAACCACACAAAGCCCCAGGTGTTGTGGTCTCTGGGATCATAGTCTACAGTATCTCTCATCTGAATTATTATAATTATTAACACGATTGCGACACGTTATTGTTTACAATGGGTACAATTGGAGGCAAATGAAGTCAAGTAGGCAACTAAAACCTGGCATCCGATTATTAAGCAACTATTTTGAATTCTTAAATTAATATGTCGAGCTGTTGGAGGTGTGGGTTTGGGAGTTGACTGGAGTTGTAGATTGTAAACCCTGTGCACTTCCTTGCCAGCGTTTCCCGTGGTGTTAGGGGGAAAAGGTCTTTCATGTACCGCAGGGGTCAAAGTCACTCTGGCCACAACTGTAGCAAGGTCTTCATCATTTTCTTCAGGGGAAGTTTGCTTATAACTCCTTCTTTGCATCATTTTTGAATATGTAATTAATTGGTTGTGTTTACATTATATTAACTTTAGTTTTTGTTAGTTTTATGACCAAAATTCCTGCTTGAACTGAACCAAAACTGGACTTATCATTGCACACTAATAGACCAATTATTATTATGAATGATGTTGTTGGTTCAATGTTTAGAATAGAATAAATGGTGTTTTGTTTTCTATATATGTATATTTTATAGTAGCCCGTATATTTTATAGTAGCCCATATTAACCTTTTACTATGAAATGAAATGAAGTATGTCCTGTTATACCCCCGCGTACGCTGTTTTTCTGTTTCAGCCATAGACGATATATAGATTTAAATTCTGTTCTAGTGATGCAAAGTTCCAACCAATGGAACATTTTAAGATGTTAATTATCTGTTTTCTGTTTGCTCTCCTATTGTTATAAGTGTTTTAGCATTTCTGTTAAAACGGCTGCCCATCTAGAACTTATAATATCAATTTAGCTTAAAAAAATCAGAACAGTAACCTTTTTTCGCGTCTCGTTCTGCCTTTGTGTCGTTAGTCTCTCTGCACAAGTGTTTTCCCAGTTATAACCTCAGCACCACATTTATTAAAAAGCATGTCCCAATTTTCCTAAAAGCTTTGGAACCCCCCCTTACATCTATGACATAACATGGAGTGAGAAAGAGGAGTTGGTTCATTTGATAGAGAGCGCCGCCTCAGTCTAACAGTGAAAGATTAGTGCTTATCAGATTAGGGGGGGTCCTCTGGTGGGATCCTTTTTATTTTTAGAAATCGGAGACGACCAGGGGATAGTTGAAGCATCACTGTGTGGGGACCGGAGTAATTTGATCAGCAAAGAGTGGACTGGATATTTTAAATTGCTATGAAAGATGTGATGAATGAACTAAATATGTAAAAAAGATCAGTCTAACATGAATCAAAATAACTAGAATTGTTCATACCAGTTACATTTGGCTGCTTGACCGCTTAAAGTCTTAAGTTTTAGTTTTGTAAAGTCCTCCTTTGCTGTTATTATTGTATTGTATCTATTGTATAGAAACTAATTGCTGTGAATTAGTTTCTATACAATAATACATTGTAATAAATTGTAATAAACTTATTTTGGCTATCATATTAATATACATGTTTTTAAAGTGGAAAGCAAATTATCAATTACAGAAAACATTGTAGGAAACTGTGCACACCTAACCCTATACATTTAAAAAACACAAGGAATACTGAGGAGGTAGTTTGAGGAGTACCTTGATGTCATCCCTTTAAAATCAGGATGTAAAATTTAAAAATCAAAATCTTTCATTTGGTTATTGACCTCGTCTGTCATATTTCCTTTGATTTAATACCTTTTAGATTTAGATTGGATTAAGTATATTATTAAAATGTAAATAATAATTGACTTTCCATTTGCAGTATAAAACCTCATTGGAAAACGTGTGCACAAGTACTCAGTGTGCACCAGAGACAACAATATAAAAATACTAAACACATAGAATAAAAACACAATACAATAATCACTTAAAACCTTGATCTAATTGAATAATCTATTACAAAAGCTTGAGGACTTTGCCCGGCTAAACCCTCTCCTTCCAGAACTGCAGCTCTCACGTCCGGCGCGCAGTGGTCACTTGCTTCTCGGCCGGCTGCTGCGGGCGCCATGGCAACCGGCCCGTCCGCTACTGCAAGCGTTGCCATGTCAACCACCACAGCGAGGTGGGGGCTGCGGCGGAGACCCATCTGTATCAGACCTCGCCGCCGCCCGTCAACACGCGGGAGTGCGGCGCGGAGGAGCTGGTGTGCACCGTGGAGGCCGTCATCAGGTGAGGCGCGAGGAGAGGATCTGTTCATATGTTTACATCAGAATCACATCAATACCAGAGTCACAATGGTAAAAGTAAGACAAGGCAAGTTTATTTGTTTAGCACAGGTATATATGTACCAATTATGAAGTTACGTATACATATAGTTATTTATAGCACAGTTCATACACAAGGCTACTCAAAGTGCTTAACAAAACAAGATAAGAATCACAGTACATTAAAAAGAGTGAAGATACAATCCTTCAGTCATATGCACAGCTAAAGAGAGTTGTTTTTAACCTGGAGTTGAACATTGTCAGAGAATAAGTCTGTCTCACATTTTTTAGGAAGACTGTTCCACATTTGAACTGCATTTTATATACTGCTTATAAGTACTGATACTTCCTCACAGTGGTACAAATAAAGGTTCTCTTATCATTTCTATTTCTACATGCTGGGCCTGGTTAGTACTGTGATGGGAGACTTCTGGGAACACCAGGTGCCACAGTGTGGCGGCAGCTGCTGTAAAGTGCCAAACTGTCATTGTGTCCTTTGGCAAGACACTTCACCCACATTGCCTAGAATGAGTCTGGTGTGCGTGTGAATGGTTGGTGTTGGTCGGAGGGGCCAATGGCACATACCAGTTGCCTTACTTCTGTCAGTGTGCCTCAGGGCAGCTGTAGCAATAGTAGTTTATCACCACTACTACAGAGTGACTGAATAATGACATGTGAGGCGTTGTGCGGAAAAGCTGATCTAATGATGTGACGGAGGCCAAAAATCCATGAGTTTCAAAACAAGTGAAAGAACCAAACTGTTTTAGAAAATATGGGTTTTTTTTAGGTGTGGGAACCTAAGGGTACCTCACGATACGATACGATACGATACACGATACAAAGCTCACAATAACGATAATATCACGATAACGATATTACGATAACGATTTTATCATGATATGACGATTATTGATATATTGGTCAGAAATATACAATATGCCAATTTATGGCATAAATAAAAGAAAAAATACTCTTTATTTCATGATAAATATAATGGAGATGCGTAATGTAGCCATATATTAAGTATTGATACCAATTCAAAAAAAAAAAAGTAAAAAAACAAACAAAATCGATATTGATACTTGGCAAATGCATATCGATAATCGAATCGCGATATAGCAAAAAATCAATATATCGTCACACCCCTAGTTTTATTACATAGTTCCGTGTTTGAAATTTGGAAGCAGATAATGGTTGTTTTATTGTTAGATGAAGACTGACCTGACGGTGGATATAAGTAATTGGTTTCCCTTGTGGGTCAATAAAACCTGAAATCTCACTAATTCTACTACTTCTTTCATTCTCTACATGTCAGGTCAATGTTGAAAGATATGTTGTGATCATATTGTTTACCTCCAAATATGTTTGTATGATTTATTACTCATTGGAATGTTCATGAATCTTTCTCTTTGCAGTCTTCTCAAAGAGGCAGAGATCCATGCGGAGCAGCGAGAGTTTGAGATGAACAGGCGCAGACAGATGGGCCTGTCCTCGTCCCATCACTCCCTGGATAACATCGAGTACGACAACAAGGAGGACGACCAGCACGACCAGCGCCTGCTCAGCCAGTTTGGCATCTGGTTCCTGGTGCGTCAACTGCAGCAATACTGTAGTGACCTGGAGTTTAAAAGCACCATAACATAGACCACTTAACATACTAAATATTTCTAAACAATTGTATTTTCTTAGTTTTAAAAGCATTTTTTAAAGGTTCTCTTATGTTGTTGTTGCCTGGTCAGTGATGGTCCATTATCCAGGAACAGTTTCAGATTTATTCATTTAATCATGAATGAGATGTTGCGTGGACCCATACTTTTCCTTAAAAAATCTTGCATCCGGATCTCTTCCAAAATCAATGTTTATATTCCTTCTATAAAAAGTGTGAAAAAGTCAGTCCATAACTTTTGGAGTTGTGTTTTTACCAGACTCCAAAAGTTATGGAATTACTTTTACACACTTTTTTTATGTTTTTACCAGACAGACACACAACCTAACCGTGGAGATAATTCTTTCTGAAAAGTGACTATGAGACACATTGTAACACTACATAACTTTTCTTATATCTTTAAAAAATATGAAGTACAAGGATGTAGGCAGGGATAGGTGATTTAAAAGCCACAGGACAACACAGGATCATGCAATAATCAATAAAAATACAACTTTGATTAAACCCTGAGGGATGTATAGAATATCATCAGATAATTAACTAACAATCCTCTGTGACACTGACCCTGAAGCAGAAATGAGTTTGTACAGTATCTCCGCTTCTTTCACCAGGTGAGCTTGTGCACGCCCAACGAGAACACCCCCACAGAGAGCCTGGCGCGCCTGGTCAGCATGGTGTTCCAGTGGTTCCACTCCACCGCCTACATGATGGACGACGAGGTGGGCAGCCTGGTGGAGAAGCTCAAGCCCCAGTTTGTCACCAAGTGGCTGAAGACCGTGTGCGAAGTGCGCTTTGACGTCATGGTCATGTGCCTGCTTCCCAAACCGGCCGAGTTCGCAAGAGTAAGCTTCATGACAGTCACATCCGTTTCAGTTGAAGGGAAGGTGCCAGTGCATCAATATAAAACAATCACATTTTTTAAATGAATGTTGAAAAAGGAAAGGTTTCATAGTGATCACAAACATTATTGTTATTTCCAGACATACACATAGACATGTAAGAATATTATGAAGTCCTTTCTGGCCAACATCATACACGCATATTTAATGTAGTCTCCACTTCTAGACAACCATATGTATTGTTAGGAAAATAATTAGATCATAGTGGATCTGTACTGACAAAGAACATGTAGAACTTTGTGACAGTTTTTGTTTCATGAGGATTGGTCTCAGAACTGCAGGGAACCTACTGTATCTCAAAACTAAATCAAGAAGTCATGGCTATAAGGACAGATGTTTCATCTGCCCCCAGCTCAGGAACCATTAAAATTCAGATTCTTTTGCTTGACCTACAATCCCGATAACTCACAAAAGTACACTTTTCAAATATATTTGTCACTGTATTTAAAACATGTATTCAAACATTTCCAATGTTTCATTAACAAAATTATAGGTTTCAAACTTTTTACATCAACCATATATTTTCTTTGTCCCAACAGAAAGAGTCTTGTAAAAGCAAAATGTTGTCTTCATCTTATTAGAACAGATATTATCTTTTGCATACTTGTTGAGAGCTGAGCAAGAGCGGTACTCTCTTTTTCACGTATTATGTCTGAAAAAGCCCAAAAGACATGTGTGTGAATTGTAAAGACTAGTGATTGATGCAAACTGTTTTGAGAGCGAGGAACTCTTCAGATGGATTGTGTTACATAGAGATTACATAAGATAGGTAACACAGCTTTAAAGTCAGAGCGCAGTGCCTTCCACCTTTGTAATGAGAGATGACATTCTGTGTGGAGTATAGTAAATGTGAGATATGGATTTTCTATCTGTGTGTAGGTGGGAGGATACTGGGACAAGTCGTGCAGCGCCGTGACTCAGCTGAAGGAGGGTCTGAACAGGATCTTGTGCCTGATTCCTTATAATGTCATCAGTCAGCCTCTGTGGGAGTGCTTTATGCCCGAGTGGCTGGAGTCCATCCGCACAGAGGTGCCAGACAACCAGCTCAAAGAGTTTCGGGAGGTGCTCAGGTACTTTCATCCTTTCAATATCTCAACTGACTGTTCTGACATTATGGTGTCTTGTATTTTTCTTAGTATATACTTAGTTGGTCAATCTGTGCTAAAAGTCTTATTAGTATGAGTATACTCTTACTATGAAGCACAAATCATGATCTCACAGAGCTTTAAAGAGCACCGCAATCTAAGATTAACAATAGAATATATACATTAAAGGGACAGTATGTAAAATGCACTCATTGGTCTAAAAAATGTCATTACAATAGTCACATGTTTGTTACCATATTGTAGCATGTAGCTTCTAAGCTCACTGATGGAATCCACCTGCTGGGGTTTAGCTAGAAAATGTACAAACTATGATTACTAATTTTGTATCTGCTTTCATTTAAAGACATGTGGTGTTATTGTTTTGTTTGTGGAAAAAACGGTATAGAGTCAAGAGCAGCTAAATTTCCCCTCACAAACTGGCAGCCCAAATGGGGATTCAAATGTATCTGTGGTTATCAAATGAGGAGAATGTGTCAATTTTTACTAATACCGGAAATTCAACTTTTATTGAATCTGAATTATTGCTCAAAAAGTGAAATCCAAAATTGCAGCATTATGTACACTTTTGAAAGCTGTTTCCACTTCCTCGCAGCAAAATGTTTGATATCGAGCTGTGTCCGCTGCCATTCTCAATGGAGGAAATGTTTGGCTTCATCAGCTGCAGATTTTCCGGGTACCCAGCTTCTGTGCAGGAGCAGGCTCTTCTGTGGCTGCATGTAAGCTATAATACACACACACACACACACACACACACACACACACACTGGTCCCCTGCTCAGTGGGTCTGTCCACAGGGCCCAAATCAAACTGTTCTGTGGATCTGGGTCAGTGAGAGACAGAGCGCTCACATGCAGTCTGCCTCAGCACTGATCAATCTCAAGCTTTCTGTCGTAACGCTGATCAAAAGAAGACAATGATTTTTGATTTGTATTTAGGTCACCCACATCAAGACACGAGCGGCAGCAGCTAAATATACACACATTTTGCTCTTCAGATTTGAAATATATCTGTATCTTTTTGACAGTTTTTCAGTTGTATTCATGATTTAGCTTGTGCAATAAACTTGACTTGCATATTTTTCATAAATTAATTCAGAGTTGCCACAGCAGTCTCAGGGTAATTCAGCTATTTTTGTTTGGCTATTATCACAGTCTCAAGGAGTTATGTTGTACTCGTATTGTAAGTAGTTCAAAGTCAGTTGACTCAGCAGTGCCATAACTGTACAACAATTACACTATAAACAAGGAATGTCTTCAATTATGATATTTTTGAGGAAATCGTTATTACCAAATATAATCAAACAGAGGGCCAACCATTTTGGGTATACTTTGCTGGAATTCTGTCCCATTCCTCCTGAGAAAACTGGTGCCATAGTGTAATATAAGCCTATGTGGGTGTGTCACTTAGATACAATTAATTACTTCACTCATTCACTTTGTAGGTCAGGTTTGTAGGTCGTCTTTTGACATCAGCCCACTATGGGTTTCTTCTTGCTCTTCTTTCCTTTATGAACTTATTTCTGTTGAAAATATTGATATTGCTCCACATGGATTATAAACTTGCAGTAGTTTTGATTAAATTCCCTGGGCTCCTGGCCGCAGTGCACTGTAACTTTAGAAGACACTTATTTAAATTGGGTTTTGGTTCCTAATCCTGTTCCTGTCTTCCCTTCAGCAAAGCATTTTAACACGGGTAAAAAGGGATGGTTCTATAATGTGTAAAGTCTATCAAGTGACCTGTCTAAAGTTCAGTTCAGGAACATGTTAGCTATACGAGTTCAGTCATGTTTTGGCTAGATTCTGCCAGAAACACATCATTTAGAATGAATCCAAACATAATTTCCATTTTTAGAGGGGAAAGGGATTTGCGGTGAGAGAGAAGATGCCATTGGTTCATTTTGTGTTAAACCATTATGTTTCGTTGCCGCAGGTTTTGTCAGAGCTGGACATCGTGGTCCCACTGCAGCTCCTCATCGGGATGTTCTCAGATGGGGTCAACTCTTTGAAGGAACTGGCCAATCAGAGGAAGGCTCGTGCTGATCTGTCTGGCAACACTGGAGCCCGCCGGGTGAGCCAAAGTTACTGTCATAAAGGAGTGCAGTTAATTCAAGTTCAGCAAAGTTCCCAAATCTTTATTATATTAGGTTTTACGACTACGCATACTCCAGAATAGGATATCTTTACACAGTCTGAAAAGTGCACCAGCCAGTATTGATTAAAGTATTGTGTTATTAGATAGTAAATTGCTTCTCCACAAATTTGATCACTTATTTGATTTTTTTACTAGGTCCCTTACCTTTCTATAAATATCATGTGTAATTTTACCCGAGTCCATCACAACTAAACACATGTAGCCTCTGGTATTGTCGTATTGTGCCATCTGAAACGCAGCCATATTTCTCTCCTCGGCTTGGATTCTACTTTGACAGTTTACTTGGATGTACTGTAAGTTGCTATGGTAACTGGTCATGTCTAAATATAGCTCTTTTAAGGGGATTAATTGAACTTGACTGCAATGTCGCTTCATCACTGAAAATAAAGCGACCGTGCAAAGTCTTATGTCTCTATTAAGATGATGTAAAAAGACACGCTCTTGATGGGTTTTTTCATGTGATGTCATACCATGCTGAGCCCGTGGTATAACAGCGAGGTGGAGGAAACCCAGAGGCTATGACCGTTTTGGTGTCATTTATGGATTTATTCCATAGAAAAGTGTAAGTGAGTGACTGGTGTCTTGTGGAGGAGCTGATGTCGTTGATTAGCAGCAACACTCTCCTCCCATAGGACGGCTGACTCCAAGAACAGGAGTCGTTGAGATGGCGACAAATTTAATCAGATTTTCCATCATTTTGGTTGTTCACAAGGACAAATGTGATGCACGTATAAACAGTCAATTCAAGGATCATTTTGACATAATTGTAAGGAGTATGAAATCTGCTGTGAATATGGGATACAAAAACTACTCACAGATGGCAACAGAGAGGAGGTGATGGCAGATTGGAACTAAACTTGAATTAAACATGGTTACACTGGGACATATGCTGGAAAGACCAAATACAACATAGCTCAGGGAAAAAAAGGAAATAACTTAATTTTATAAAAAGGTCTCTGGATGGAAATTTCTAATTCATGTTTATTTCTTTTTTTACTCAAAAAATGCAAACAATCAGTTTAAAAGACTGGACCTCAGATGCAGTAATGCAGCTAAACACTGGAAGACTGAGGGACATGGCTCTCATCTTACCTACCACCTGCCACACTGAGTCCTCCTCCTGCTACACACCTGCACCTGAGCTCTTCACCATCACAGATGCATTTAAACAGAGCCTCTCAGTTCTTGCGTCAAGCTGCTGTTCGTGCAGCAACCCGCCTCCTCCCCATTACCGCCTTTTTAGTCGAGAATTTCCACATTTTGGCTCAGCTTCCATTGCCACCAGGGTTTAGGCCCCAGGGGGTTCGCAAGCTTATAATCACTATTCAATTTTCATTAGTATTTTTGATGGGGTCGAATCACAAGCAGTACAATACAGTGTACATTTTTTTTGGCCTTGGAAAACATTGTAATTCTGTAACTCCACTGATGATAGACGTCTTTGGTGTATAATCTGTTGTATAATTGTAAATATACCACTGACTAAGCTAAGCTGTAGCAACCACATATAATTAAAGTTAAATGACCTTAGAATGATAAATAGGGGGTGGGAGTTTAAAAGTCTTCACTTCTTCCCACTCCTTTTGGAGAAGGATTTTTGTAATAAAATAAAACATACTGTATTAACAGCTTATTAAACGAGCGCGAGGTTAATAAATGTTTTATTATATGACTATTTTTAATTTATGCAAATATTGATCCCCAACTTGGTTTTCCTAATCGTGTTTTTAGCATTCTGATCTGTAACGAAGTTGTCAATCTCCTCTTGACTGTTAGTTATGTTTTCGTCGTTATTTTCTGTAATTACTTCCTCTGGCTCTTCAAACTCGTCTGGATATTAGGAGAATTCTCCCAGTCGTCGCCCATTATTTCTTTTTTTTACAGAGGAAAGGTATCAAATGTGATACGCGCTGCGGACCGATTGTCATGGTAACGGTCCAAGATGGGAAAATATCAGACCGTAAATCAGCCAATCAGAGCGCGCGTACAATCCAAGTCATATAATAAAATTGTGTATTACAGTATCATATATTGTTTCTTTTTCTATTCTGTTGTTGTTTTGTTGTTGTTCTTTGTTCTTGTTTGCCATTGCTCAAAATAAAGTATTCTTTCATTCATTCTCTACAGGTGAGTGTGGTGTCGGATCCAGGCCGCAGGGGGCAGCACAACACCCTCAGCCCCTTCCCCAGCCCGTTCAGGAGCCCCTTCCGGAGCCCTCTGAGGTGCAGCCCCTTTAAGAACCTGGGTCATGCCACGGCAAACTGCGCCCTGGACCTGGACTGTGACGACGACGACATGAACCTGGGCTGCTTCATCCTCATGTTCGACCTCATCCTGAAGCAGGTGCGTGCAAGAGGATGAAACATGAAACAGTCTCATGTAGTTTGTGATGTTTTAACCAAGGTGTCACAGTTGGCCTTGTTAAGACAAAAGCAAACACACACACTCACACACACACACACACACACACACACACACACACACACACACACACACACACACACACACACACACACACACACACACACACACACACACACACACACACACACACACACACACACACACACACACACACACACACACACACACACACACACACACACACACATCAGAGAAGCATATAGGTAAGTGTAAAACCAATATATGATACAGATTCATTATATTCCAAGTGACATATGTCAAGCCTTTGTTATAGTTTTGATGATCATGGTGCTACAGTTTCAAAATTTTCACATTTTCTGAGAAGTTTTAATTGGAGTTTTTACACGCTTTCAACCAATGATCCAACCATGTAACAAATACAAGTTTGATATATGTCACTTTATGTGTAATGATTCTATTTAAACAGGCATTGAAACAAATATCACAGCACATTAAAAAGAGTGAAAATACAATCTTTCAGTTGTATGCACAGCTACACAAAACTGTTTTTTAAACCTGGATTTGAACATACATACATTATAGCTGCATGAGCAGGACATTGGTGCAGAGCAAAACTATTACAACTATTTAAGAATTAAAAGTGTATGCAAAAGATTAGAGCAGTTTGTGATGATTTGAAGACATCGATCCATCCATTTTCTTCCCCATAATCCATTTCTGGGTCAGGGGGGAGGCAGTCAGAGCTGCACCCAGTACACATAGCACCAGCCCCTTTCAAGACAACATTCTGAAAATGTATCACTGAGAATATTTTAAGTGAAATGTATTCAAAATAAAAAACTTCACAATAAATGCCTCAAATAAACTACACATGCATTTGAGAACCCTGGAAGATGTCACCTGATGCACTAATACACCTTATTATTTGACAAATTATAATTTAAGAATATATTTATTTAGTCGAGAGAGGCTCCTGTAGACTCACCTCCTGCAGGAGGATCACTGAGGGGCTGGAGCTCTGTGTACTGGGTGCAGCTCTGACTGCCACCCCCCGACCCAGAAATGGATTAAGGGGAAGAAAATGGATGGATGTATGGATTTATTTAGTCATAAAAGTTTCATTAAAATGTGTTTGTTGCACATTTTCAGAAACTTATTGGATTCCGTATAGATCCCGTATCTGCTCTACTTCCTTCAACTTTTTTACACAAAGATTTCTGTTGTAAAATGATGAGCATATTTGAAAAAGATGACCGCTCAAAAAACTAAAAACTAGAATTCCGTACACATTTCCCTACAGAAGTTATTTATGGCTCTTTATATGGAACAAAGACAGATGACAGATTTAGCAAATTTCATATTGAGATTTCATATTGAGTGTGAAGTGTCATTACTACAGGATACAGAGCCACACGCACCAGGATATAGTTCCACAAGTGTTTCCAATCGTTCTGTGGCTTCCACCCTGCGCTGTGCTGGCCTTTGCATGCTGCTGTGTTGTATTCTGCATTACCTTGATGTAACGGCCGCCTACCGCTGTGGCAGATGGAGCTCCAGGACGACGGGGTGGTGTTGGGTCTGGACAGCAGTCTGGGCAAGGACATCGTGGGTATCATCAACAACGTATTCCAGGCCCCGTGGGGAGGCTGCCATACCTGCCAGAAGGACGAGAAGGCCCTGGAGTGCAGCCTGTGCCAATCCAGTATCCTCTGCTACCAACTGGGCTGCGAGCTGCTGGAGAGGCTGACCCCCCGCGAAGAGATCCGCCTGGTGGTGAGACCCAGGACAGAGATCACTGCAGAGCATACGTAGACAACATTAAACGCATTTTTAAATACAGCTATAGTGGTTGTAATTGGGTTTGTTTGTGAGTCAATTTCTATGTATAGTAATTCTATGTAAACTAACCCTAATCCCAGGAAATGATTATACAACAACTTCTTATTCAGTAAATATAAACTGTGGTCTTATTGTTTTATCATAAAGGGGTCGAGAAGTCTTGACAATAATCAAAATCATTTATATTATGTTGGCCGCTAGAAAAGACCTTCAGATATACTGATGATGTGGCAGGTTTGTGAATTGAATAACAATCAAATAGAGTTTTATTGGCATCTTCCCTCCAACTCAAAGAGACATATAGAACATAAACCGGAACGACACCGGGAGAAGTTGAAAGAATTATGTCTTTCAGCTGGCCTGGGAACGCCCCAGGAATTCCCTGGATGAGTTGGAGGAAGTGTGTGTAGAAAGGGAAGTCTGGGCCACTCTGCTTAGACTTCTGCCCCTGCGACCTGGCAGCGGATAAAGAAGAAGAAAATAGAAGATTGAATAGATGGTTACCTTTATAACACTGGAGGGCTGGATTCTGGAAATGCACCTAGTCTGTACACACATGTTGGGATTACATTTATTTACAGCTAGAATAATCATTAACCACTTAAACAGCATCTGAACAGATTAATTCCATGTTATCCTCTTAGAAGAACACATGGCTGCTTGTGTTTGATCCAGGAGCCCACTGACAGCCTGGAGGAGACCCTGATCCTTCCTCCTTCATCTGCCTTCTCCCTCGGGGCAGAGACGAAAGAGTGTGAGGAGGAAGACAACCCCAGCGCCACGAGCACCACCACCACAGAAAACCCCAGCAACCCCTCCCCTGACAATCCAAGTATGAATGCCTCTGACGACTATTCATATTTATCACATGTTCAGGGAAGATTGCAATCCAGACTACCGTTGATTAATACTGTTTAAACCTCATGTTGAATAACAGACTCCATATCACTCCGTCTCATACGTCACCATAGCAACACACAGCATTGAGCACATAGTTAACATCCAGCCTGCAAACGCTAAATGTTTATTGTAATATAAAAGTTAAATGTAGAAAAACTTTGCTTTTTCTCACAATGATAGATATGGAGGTTTTTCTAGCTCTTGGCTGATAAAGTAGTCCCTTGCCTCAAACAATGTTTTTGTTTATATATACAATAGATACATTTTCTAATAAGTTATGAGTGTGAGAGTGTTTTGTTTTCTCATCTTTTTGTCTTGTGTTTTTAGCATTGAAAAACAACTCAGATGTGAAGTTCTCCTACCAACAACTCCCAGTGTCTTTGAAGCTTATTTACACTGTCCTTCAGGTAATTTGGTTGGAAATATTATCTAGAAATAGATAGAAGTATTAAACTCCACCACACATGGAGAATGATGTATATTACCATATTAATATATATTAATTAAAAAATGCATTGAAACTAATCGAGGTTTGAGCCAGGAATGAAACAAGAAATAACCAGGATGAACCCCAAGTTTAACCAGAATCAGCAAAAGTGACAATGAAATAAGAGTAAATAACAACCCTTTCGATTATTAGACTGAAATTAATATATCATTTTCTTCTTTTTTCTTTTTATATATGTATATAGTTGGAGAAAGTAACTTAAAAGTAATGCAGTAGTAGTGTAATGCATTCGAATTCAATGTATTGTCATACATTTTTTTGACAATACATAATTTACAATACAATACAACACAATTTATTCTTGTATAGCCCTAAATCATAACAGAAGTCATCTCAGAGGACTTAACAAAAATTATTGAAATCACCAACACAGATCAGAGAATCAACAGTTAAGAAACAGAATATAAACATATGTATTGGTCCATAGGGAGAGACCAATGTCCATGAATGTTGATAAATGTCCATACATGTTGTGTCCTGGATCATCACCACAGTCCTTTGACACTAACTGTTTTTGAAGTAACTTGCCCAACACTGATCATAATAAATTCATGAGGCCAAAAAATACATATATGGCACAATTCATACACGAGGCAACCCCAAGTGCTGAACAAGATACATGTAGTTAAATTGTCTGTGATTTAAATGTTTGATTCACCAGCTTTAATAATGTAAGCTCTCAATGACTCATTATTTCTTCTATATTAGTCAACAACAACAAAATGCAATTTCACATTAGTACAAATATATAAAATTAATCTTCAAAAGAAATCATGGTTTCATTTTATTATAGCCAGCGGTGAAGAAAAAAACTGTTTTTGAAGCCAACTTGTTTGATCTGGAGCATTTTTATAGTTATAATTTAGGGTATAGGGACAATAGATAGGATTAGTTTTAAGTGTAACAGGCTTTTTCTGTACCCATTAACTGACATGTGTGCATTTAACCCATGTCAGTTCAGTTATGTCGATATAACATAACATTGAGTCCAACTAATACAACACACCTTATTTTTTCTGTTATAATCAGTTTGTAAAAAGACAATTTTTGCTGTTGTAGGAAATGTCCAAGTTTGAGGAGCCAGACATTTTGTTCAACATGCTGAACTGCCTGAAGATCTTGTGCCTCCACGGAGAGTGCCTGTACCTGGCCCGCAAGGACCACCCTCAGTTCTTGGCTTATATCCAGGAGAAGATGCTCATCCCGTGGTTTGTATCAACCTCACATGCATTTTATATTTTCATACACTCATACATGTAGGCTAACAGTATGTACCATAAAGTATAATGTTATTAGTATTTTAATTTGTATTACTGCTATTGTTCAGGCGCTCTGAACAATCTAATGTGGCTCTCAGCCCTTATCCAAATATTAGTTTTTCTTTTTGGAAACACTTCAATCTATTCAACCCAACCCACTTTATTTATTTAGAAACAAGCTGTTCCCAGTGTTCCCAACAAAAAATAATAAATATCACATGACTAAATATTCTAAAAAACAAAAAAAAAAAAACAAAACCCTTTTCTCTAGATCAAGTCTGGTTTATATCTGGTTGCTGAACGTTCAGTCCTAGTTTGGCATTTCATTTTTCTACATACAATTTGTAACTGAGATGTGATAGTTGGTATATTTGCTGCCACCGCAAACTCTATAAAAGTGGTGATGCGTTATACAATTATCTGGCCCAGAGGACATGGTCGTCCAAAATATAAAGGCCCTGAGAAAATTAAGTTTAATTGCCCTGTTCTAGAAGCATTTTTTGGTCTTTAAGCATTTTTTAACCTGTGAATTGAACTGGAACATTTAAAGGCATAATCCAGGCCGTTCCAAAGCGGGGGCTGTATCCCACCATAGCATCAAGTGTAATGTAGTTTTGTCCCAGAATTTCAATAATATGCCTGCTTCTGTTTTAGCCTGTGGTCCATGTTAAAGTCAGAGTTTTGCCAGCTGGCGTCTCTGGCAGTGCCTCAGCTCCTTCACGCCCTTTCTCTGTCCCACGGAGCGGACATCTTCTGGAAGCTTATCAACACCAACTTCAACCATCAAGACTGGAAGATCCGATTTGAAGCAGGCAAGAAACCACCAACTATCACATTTTTAAAAATTAATATGTTGACTTGTCCCACCAGAAAGAGCCTTGTAAAAGTAAAGTGGTGTAAACGAACCAGACGACTACATTCTGTTTTACATATTGTAAGATAGAACCTTGTGAGTCACTAAGAGCTGATTGGCTGAGTGAGTGAGTTCCTCTCTTTTTCACTTTTCTGTCTGAAAAAGCTGATCTAAAGATGTGACAGAGACCTAAAATACAGACATGTGAAAATTGGTCATAGAACGAAACTGTTTTGAGAGATAGAAACTAGTTAGATTGATTCTATTACATAGCTAAGCTTTTGTGGTCTGAAAGCTAGGTACCCCAGCTTTAATAAGTACTCCCTATGTATCGGGAGTGGTAGAATGGGATGATAGCATAGAATAGCAGTATCACTCTCAGGCACTCTCTGCCTAGAGTGGAGTGAATGAACGGTGCATTTAATTATAAAGCGTATTTGGGCTAAACAGTTTTTTACAGTTTTTTAAGATACATTTGCGAAAGTTGTCTTTGAATAGATAGAAACACTCACTAGGCATTTCTCTAATTTATTAATTGTATAAGTTGATGCCCGCACAGAAGATGTGTCAAAATGTCAAAGTTTTAAAATAGTTTAATCATAGTTTTATTATAAAATATTATAGAAGGCTTTGATTTTCTGACATAACAAAACGACTAAACGTCTACACTGACATCTAGTGGCCAGCATGTGTCATTGGGATTTTATTTTTCACTTTAGAACTTTATATGAAGGAGCAGTTTTTTTAAAATGTCATACATTTACACAAATGACTTTCTTCTGTGTAATGTAACTTTTGTATTACATGAATTGCAGTATAATACAATAATATAGATCATAGAATTGCTTTTATATTTTATTAAAAAGTTTTATGTAGCTATGAGTTTTAAAAGTGGCTTAAAATAAACAAGACCACTAAACTGCTCCTGCAGATGATCCGGTTTAGATGTGAAGATTGTGGGAAATTGAAGATGGTTGTGGGGGTAGCCTTTCTGTGTGGTGTTTACATGTTTATCTGCGTGGCTGGGAGAATTGGGTTCTTGGGCGCCCGGAGGAAACCCTCCGAGACAGAGAAAACAAAAGAATAAACAGTTTTGGTTGTCCTGAGCAGTAACATCTGGAGATGGGTACCCAGGTGCTGGACTACTGCGATATTGCGCTTTTTGGACACTAAAAGTTGCTTCACGTGGCCCTAATCATTCAATATACACTCATAGTCAGAGCTGCCTTGGGGCAGAGTGACAGAAGCAAAACTACTAGTCTGAGCCATTGGTACCGGAAATGATTCACACACTTCTCAGATTCATGGGAAAATTTTGCACATTTAAAAGTAATGCAATAGTATTTCAACGTAAAGTATTTTGTGTCTCTGTGAGCCAATGTCACATCTATTTTTACTTGTTGTTATACTATTTCAAGCCCAAATCAGACTTTTCAAAGAAACTTGATGCTAAAGAAAGCATTCTTTAACTTTGTATTCATTCCTTCATTGCTAAATTTAGAAGTGACTATTCTGACAAGTCTATGCAAGTCAGCTCCTAAATGCGGTGCCTGTTGTTCATTCTTCCAGTGGAGAAAGTGGCAGTTCTGTGTCGCTTCCTGGACATCGGTGCGGTCACTAAAAACCACCTGCTCAAGTATTCCCTGGCCCATGCCTTCTGCTGTTTCCTGGCTTCAGTGGAGGACGTCAACCCATCTGTGGCAACGCGGGCTCGGCTTCTTCTGGACACCATCAAGAGGCCGGCCCTACAGGTGAATGAAATGATTTATTAAGGTGATGAAAAAGAAGTTAAGAAGGCTGAGATCTATTATCAGAAGTGCATCATGAATACTTAGTAGCTGATGTGACATAAAAAAGAAGCAATAGACAATAAAATAGGCACAATGTGATATGATAGTGTACATTATTGCTATTACATTATCATCACTGACACGTGTTCAGGATCAGCAGCATTCATTGTACAGTCCGAGAGCAGAAGGAAAAGCCTGCGGATCATCTCCTTCACACAGAGGGTGAATCAGTGACTCACGGTCATGGTGCAGCATCAATGTTAGTTTAGGCCGGACCATGCTGCCCCCCACTGCACAGAATACTTAATTATTTAAAAAGCCAACACATCGTCTTTGTTGAGCTTGGACTTAGGTTGGCTGTGTACGTGAACCAAACCAGATCAAGTGTGACTTTGCAACATAAGAGTATGACTATTGATCCACAGCGCGGCTCACTCGAGTGATAGAGAGTTATTCTGTAATCTTCATTAATGACTAGTTTCCCTCTTCCTGCTTTTCCTCAGGGCTTGTGTCTGTGCATGGATTTCCAGTTTGACACTGTTGTGAGAGATCGGCCCATTATCCTGAGCAAGCTGCTGCTGCTACACTTCCTTAAAAAAGATATTCCGGCTCTGAGCTGGGAGTTCTTTGTCAACCGCTTCGAAACGCTGTCTTTGGAGGCACAGCTTCACTTAGACTGTAACAAGGAGTTCCCTTTCCCCACCAGTGAGTCATTTCAAAGCATAATCAATACAAACACTATCATAGGATTCTCGAGTTACTATTGTTTGTGGGTAGGTGACAATTCTGTCGTATTGTCAAATGCAGTGTGTTCTCATTGTTGACCTTTTCTGAGGTTTTAACTATTTTATATCATTGTTCCCTCGTCAAAATAAAAAAATTGATTTATTCTTTTACACACCAATATGAGAAGTTTCTTGCACATCTCAAAATTGTTGAGAAATCCTTACAATAATAATACTGATTTGGTTTTATACAGCGCTTTTTGGACACTCAAAGACGCTTCACATGTCATAATTAAATCCCTCCATACACAGTGGTGATAACCTACTATTGTAGCCACAGCTGCCCTGGGGCACATTGACAGAAGCGAGATGGCGCTATAACCAAAGCGGTGTCTAAATTTTGATGTGTTTTATGAAATGTTTCCTTATAGTTGATTAAAAAAAACGGGGGTCTTTTAGGCACCTATTTGTTGTTAAAGTTTTATAAAGCAAGTTGCCATGTGTATAAATTGTGCAATACAGATGAACTTGCCCTACCTCGCTCCCGTATAAACTGGCCGTGCCCATGCTTGTGATATCTGAACAATTATAATGGTATTTTCTCTTCATTGCAACTTTAATATAACGTTTGAAACAAGCGACTACATGTTTTAAACGGGGAATATTCCTCAGAATCTTATCACGGTCGCTCACACATTCCTCCTGCTTCCCAAAGCCATCACAGCAGTGCGCACCAATGTAGCCAACCTGAGCGACGCCGCCATGTGGAAGATCAAGAGGGCCCGCTTCGCCCGCAACAGACAGGACGGGGTGCGCTCTCTCCGGAACAGCGTGAAGGGAACCCCACAGACGGACAGCTCCCCAGAAGCCAAGCGCGCCTTTTCTCTGCCCGAGACTCTGGGCAACAAGATCCGTGAGTGCGCTTCTGTAAATGTGTCTGTTCATTTAACCCACATCACCGCATTCGTTGTGTTTTGTAAGCTGCCATTTTATATTTTCAGTTCATCCAAGTTGTTGCTTTTTCTTAGTATGTTATTTATCCAAAACATTTCGAATTTCAGTTTCAAAGTTGCATCACCGCCGCTGCATTACTGCTCCATCACCATGCTACTCTAAATGTGACTCTTCATATTGTTTTAGCTCTAGGACTTACGAGGCAAGAACACTCTGCTCCAACACTGGGAGATATGATAGATGTCCTTTCAGGTAACACAAATCAATGACGCATGAATATAGATTGTATTACATATCAATAAGTAAACATTAGACATAAGAAAAAGCAACATGTTGTGTATTCACTAAGACACTAGTATCACAAGTTCTACCACTGTTGTATTCTGTCTCTCTCTCCCTGCACTCAGTCCTAAGATGACTATATTGACCAGAAATAACCAAACTAAGGCCCGTAGTGCAAATGCAGCCCAGTGTGTCATTGTATGTGGCCCTCACAGTGTCATCCAGCCAACTTCAACTCAACAAATATACTCCTGCTGTATATTGTTGTAAAGCTAAGAATCTATGGAATATTTGTATATATTTTACCTACATTTATTGTCACAAAAACTTGGCACTAGTATAGCTGTGATGTGAATCCATATGGATGTTTCATATTCCATTTTAAAGCCCAGAACATCCCGAATCTAGTCAAAACAATCAATCCCTGTTGTCGACTGCAGTGTGGTTAACTGAAGTGGTCCGCTTAGTAAAATGCCTGGACACCCCTGATGAAGGCCACTTTACATGGGGCAGTCTCAGTTTGTAGTCCTGTGTCCCCTGTCTCAGCAGATGAATCTAGTCCTAGTTTTTAACAGAACTGGTCTCAGTTTTACCGTTGTCTTAGTGATTTGGCCCCAAATATCAGCCATTATAACAAAAACAGATATGTGCACTTATTTAAAATCCTTACAATTTACCCTTTACCAAGTTATTTTTTGTGTTCAATACAGTTAGTTTCACCAACAGCCAGAGGAATACAACCTTTTGATACTTTTTTCAAAAGAGAAACATCTCTTTTTGCAAATTAACTCTTCAGTTAGACCTTTTCTTTTTCAACATTTCTGTTTTTCCCATATGGTTTTATTTGTATCTTCCCTACAGCTGAAATAATTCTATATCATGAATGCAACCTGTAATGTACTCTTGGCCCACTCTTTTCACAATTTATTATAACCCCACATCAGTGTAGGTGCAGTATGTCCCAGTTTGTGTTAGGTATTATACAGAAGCCTATGTTTGGCTCCCTCAGGAGTTTCCTCTCAGTCTAACCTTGAGCTGTTGTTCCAGGCCAAACCCCTTCGCCTGAAGACGACAGCATCATCAAAGACCTGCTCCCGGAAGACGCAGGAATCGACCACCAGACCGTCCACCAGCTCATTATGGTGCTCATGAAGTTTATGGCCAAGGACCAGAGCAGCGCGGAGGCCGACCTGGGCAGTGCCAAAGCCTTCAACACGGTCAAACGCCACCTCTATGTGCTGCTGGGATACGACCAGCAGGAGGGCTGCTTCATGATCGCCCCTCAGAAGATGCGCACTTCCACCTGCTTCAATGCTTTCATCGCAGGCATCGCACAGGTCTGATAATTATGCTCCAGAAATTCACTCCATAGGGCTGTCAGAGCCATGTTATCATCATTCATTATCGTACGGGATTGGGTGAAATAATTGGCAATATATTCAAAAGATACTTAATATTGAAGATTATTCTAGTGGATAACTGTGAGGGCTGCATGATTTTGACCAGATATGTATTGCATAATTTCTAACCAGGACTGTGATTGTGATGCGATTATCAATTTTATAATTTTATTAGTAAAAAGGACAACTTTAGTAGTTAGAAAATCATAAGTAGAAAATAGAAAATATTGCTGTTCCATCGACATATACTCAAATCAAGAGACATTTTCCCCAATTCAAGTGATTTTAGAATAATCGGCGTCTTTGCAATTTGCTAGACGCGACCACCAACATGACGGTAAATAATTGTACAGCCCTAATACGGGCCAATAGCCAATAATTGTCCATCTGTATTTGCGTTTTTATCATGACCACAAATCTACATCTCTGACCACTACCGCAGGTGTTGGACTACAACATCGGCCTGGGGAAGCAGCTGCTCCCCCTGGTGGTGCAGGTGTTGAAGTACTGCACGTGTCCTCAGCTCAGGCATTACTTCCAGCAGCCTCCGCGCTGCTCGCTCTGGGCTCTGAAACCACACATCCGGCAGATGTGGCTCAAAGCTCTACTCGTCATCCTTTACAAGGTATTCTATTTAGACTTGTACTCAAACCATTCATTGCTTTGTATTATTAGTCTTTGTGGTATACGGACTCTACAGTAAAAACATGGTAAACACAGAGCTTCCTACTTTTATCCTGGAACGACACAACATTTCAACACTTCAACTTCAACATATATGTATACCCCTATTCAATATAAAACATATTTCTAACTTATAATCACTGCTGTGAGACTTCAGTATGTATTCAGCAGATAACAATCATGGTCTCTTTAAGTAGTTTATGGTGAAAATATAAGCCTATATGTCTTTTCATAATATTCTGCTTGGCTGGGACCGTGCATCCTCTCTGCTCTAGTCTGGATCAGTGTAAAATAATAAACACTTTACTGCAGTAACATATTTAGAAAAAAGCAAGACAAATTCAATTTACTTCAGGCGTTGAATGTAACTTTCCCTAGTATCCATACCGAGACATGGACGGCAACAAAGTGGTGCTCCATCTCATCCACATCACCATCAACACGCTGAACGCCCAGTACCACAGCTGTCGACCCCACGCCACGGCCGGGCCCCTGTACAGCGACAACTCCAACATGAGCCGCTACAGCGAGAAGGAAAAGGGTAACACTGCAGTCACATGAGCCTCTTCCAGACACATTGATGATGACCTTCTGTGCTTCTCAGAGGAGGACAGTGTGTTCGATGAGTCAGATGTCCACGACACGCCGACGGGTGCCGCTAACAAGGAGTCACAGACCTTCTTTGCCAGACTCAAGAGGATCGGAGGCAACAAGTCTGTGAAGTACCAGCCTGTGGAGCTGAATGCCAAGAGAAGTAAGGGAAAACAAAACATTATGTAAATTTTTTGATCCTGAGATAATGAGCTTTAGAATGAGATATAACATGCCATGGTAGCATATCGTCCGGATGGGATGAGATTTCTAAAACTGAAAAAAAATTCCCTCTAGTATTTGCCTGTTAGCCATTGGATGTATTGTAATTTAGTGTTTAGGGCTACTTTTTTATTGTTTTTATTTTATTTTCAAAACATCCTGACCACGCAAGACACACACACACACACAGGTCCAGGGCAAATATTATTATTTTAATAAACCAAACCCAATATTTCATTGCTTTTCTGGAACTGAGTACGATGGTGTGGTAAAATCAGACTAGAACTGACCCACACGGCACATTTTATTATTTTGTTTTTATGGTGATTTATTTACAGTTATAATTTTTACCATCATAAAAATTAAGTAATTTAAAGTAATTTATTTACTCCTGCCCCAGGAGAAAGAAAAATGTTTCTGTTGATGTTGAAAAATTCCCTTGATTTAACAAAGTAATATCAAGAAATGTGTCCATAATGAGCTTTTTAATAGAATATTCAAATCCACTGAAAATTAGATTGTATTATTTCTAAATACCATTTATAATCTAATCTAAAATTTGCCTCGTTGGCTGATTTTAACTCACAGACAATTGACTTATTTCAAGATCTATTTTCTTCAGTGTGTTGGAGTAATATCTTGTTGCTCTATTGTATAGTGTTTTTCAATTTATTATGAATATTAATATCATGACATGGATTCTCGTGTCTCTTTCTGTTCACCTGAAGTATCTTACATCAGCATGACTCATTCACTGACCTCATTCACTCATTCTTTGACCACAACTACTTACTCACACACTCATTCATGTTTCATCAACACAAATTAAAGTTTACTTCTGAAAATAGAATGCCTCCTCACTGTGGTACACATTGAAGCTCGTATGAATTGTTTCAAACTCTGCATGGTGAATGAAAACAGATCATTTCAAAACCAGCAAAAGTCAATGTTTTAACCAATGTAAGATCATAGTGTATTGATTATTTGTTAATTCAAACCTAAGGCCTTGTTGTGTCCCTCGCAGGTGAAATCGAGCTGTCTGAGTACCGTGAAGCCAGTGCGCTCCAGGACAGCATCCTGCACTGCGTCCGCGAGGAGAGCACGCGTAAGAAGCGCCTCCAGGCCATGCACAAGCAGAAGTCTTTGGACATCTCCAACACAGACTCTCTCCTTTTCAACTTGGACGAACACCGGCGGAAATCCTGCATCGACCGCTGCGACTTACAGGCACCTGCCGCCATCCTGGCCCCTTCCTCCCGCGGCAGACATCACGGCAAAGGATCTTCCGACGGCTCCTCGGTCAGGGCTGTAGATCTGGCAGACAGGAGGGGGTCACGGGGAGGCCATTCCGACATATCCAAACCGGTCATCCCAGAGGTACGTCTCAGTTGCATGGAGACATTCGAGGACAAGGAAGATCAAGATTCCCCGTGCGATTCAGGGCAGGACAAAGACGACCAGGACCTCATCGATCTCTCCTCGGATTGCACATCGATTCCAGAGAAGCACTCGCTGCTCTCCATGTCCGACACGGATTCGCTGGTGTTCGAACCGCTGCCACCGCTGAGGATTGTAGAAAGCGACGAGGAATTCGATCTCAGCACCATTATAGCCTCCAAGCTCATAGGAAGCCCCAGACTGTCCACATCGCCAGCAAGCAGCAATACTTTGAGGCTGTCCCCACTGGTGCAATCCAGTATGGAGGATGGGTCTTTCGATAAGAACATGGAAGAGCAATCGGAGAAGAAGGATGTTGAGAAGAAACCGGGGCTGTTTACACCAAGCACGTCTTTAGACTTATCAGAAAAGGCCGACAACATCTCTCACGAAAGCCAACTGACGCTCAAGCAAAAGCGTGATTTGCTCAGGAAAACGCCGCACGTGCCGGACAACTCTTTAGACGAGGCTTATGACGGGAACTCAGGTCGGACAGTCTTCCTGGACATCCCGGAGGACAAAACAGAGTCGCCATCCTCCACTGAGAAGAGCAAAAGTAACAGCAACGATGAGGAAGAGTACGGAGATGATGAGGAGGATGAAGATATGGGGGACGAAGGAGACAGCGATCCCAAACCGGAGAACACGGAAGAACTAGAAGAGTCAGAGTTTAAGATTCAGATCGTTCCCAGGCAGCGGAAAGAGAGGAAGATCGCGGTCAGTGCCATTCAGAGGGAGTATTTGGATATTTCCTTCAACACTTTTGATAAACTTGCCACTGAGACGATCGTTGAAGCAGGTACGTTCAGTCAAGTTTGTTAAGAGTTTGAAAATATTGCAAATCACATGAACTCTCTTGATTTTCAGACCACAAAGTCCTGTCCACATTGGAAAAACCCAGAGAATCGGCTTCAGCCCCCACCCTTGAAGCAGCTTTACCTGAAACTAGTCACCGCTCTTCCGTGTCAAGTAGGTGCAGAATACTTCATCAATATTATTATTACTGCCACAAAGTCCAAAACATCCATCCATCCATTTTCTTCCCCTTAATCCATTTCTGGGTCGGGGGGATGACAGAGCTGCACCCAGTACACAGAGCACCAGCCCCTCATTGATCCTCCTGCAGGTGGTGAGTCCACAGGAGGATCCAAAACAATGGAGGATAATTCTTAATTAAATTACAGCTTTGGTCTGACACAGCAAAATATTTCGATGACTATGATTAATATGAGCATAATTTTTACTCCCTTTGTAAATTGAAGTGGGCGGAGAGCAAAAGATTTTTCCATAATTTAAGTATTGTGAAATCAATTGGAAGTTAAGGACCTGCATTTCAGTGGAATACATTCAACAAATGAATGAAGCAAAGTGAAGTAAAACCTTATGTTAAGTTATTTTAGCATGTTTAAAGCAAGGGTACCTTACTATATTTTTCCTTAAATTGTACATGTTGTATGTCCCATCAGAAAGAGTTTTTTTAGAGTAAAATGACAACATAGACCATAACATGTTTCATGTTTTTATAAAACATCTTCCTGTTTACACACCCCGTGAGGCTGAGAGCTGATTGGCCTCTCATCAAAGTGTAATGTATCAAAAATCAAATCAAACAAGAACAGAAAGTCTTGTTTCCTGACATTATTTTGACAAATGCGGTGATAATGGATCGTTTCCAAAGGCGCTTCAAACAACATCTCAAGGCACACCATATCAACAGCTATATTATAATTTCTTCTGCCTGAAAATGGCCAATATTGCAGATTTTTGCTCTAGCTTTAGAGCAATTTTCAGTTTTTCATAGAAGAAATATGTTAGAATTGGAAGGACCACATGTTATTACTCCCAATAGTCATAATGTAACTCTGCAGCCTTTATGAACAATGCAAAATCTTTCATGAAAGCAAATTATATAGAAAAGTTTAAATACATCTTCTAATCTCCTCTCATTTTTTTAACCAATTACAGTAGGTGAAACTGGATAATTTCCAAAGGCTGCAATAACATCTATAGGCACAGTATCACGTACCACAGCACTCAGGTTGAAAAACACTGATCTAAGCAACTAGCTCCTCGCTGCCAGAACACTACAGTGGAATTCACATGCATGTATTCTTGGCCTCTGTCACATCTATATATCAAAATGAGGACCACTCTCCCTCAGCCAATTAGCTAAGTATGTAAAAGATGATCTGGATCTATATATTGAAAAATACATTAAAAGGAAAATACTTCATATATACTTGTTATTGATTATATTGCATAGCTGTAGACCAGGGGTGCTCACACTTTTTCAGCATGCGAGCTACTTATAAAAGGATCAAGTCAAAATGATCTACCTACTACAAAAATGCAAATCATATCTTTATTTCAAAAAATATTCTTTATACCTACAATGTATGTTTATGTACATGCAAAACCGCATGAGCCAATATAGCACAACACAACACAATTACCTATGTACATTTTTTGTCATTACCCGAGTTTACTCTGATGACTTGCACTGAATTGAATCAGCCAGGGATGCATAGTCCGGAAAATTGGTGGTAACTCGCTGACAAGTTTGTCGTGGTTTAGCTTTCCTGCACTGAGCGCGGTTGTTTGCGCATGTGCAGTCACCGAAGTGTCAGTAAAACATTACTGAGTAAAACACAGATGTCATTTGACTGTGGTGCCATGTCCATGTGCCATGCCTATTTTTTTTAAATCCAAATATTTCCCCTCCTCAGTTTATAAAATAATTTGCATCCACACATCTGCGTTATCAATCACATTCGTAACATTCCAAACATGTGCGTCTCTTACGTCCTGTCCTGCGTTGGGGAAAAACACAGAAGTGGGCGGAGCTTTGATGCAGACGCCGGTAACGGCACTTTTACAGTCATAGAAGACACTCAGAGTAAAGACGTATGTTTACAAGCACTGACCCCGTCCTCAGCCCTGGTTTAGTCCTGGTTTAGTCCTGGTTTAGTCCTGGTTTGGTTGTTTTTGAGCGTGAGTCCGATCACTTTGCTGCTCTCTGATGTGGAGGATGTTCGCTGCTGCGAGCATCTCACAGCGAACAGTTTTTAAGGTCGTATGATCCATGCTTCAGTGATCAGAGAAATTTAGGGGGGTACTGTGGCGTGCGAGAACGCAAAACTCCGGTTATCTCTGTCTACACACAAATGCATTAACGGAGTTTTCAAAAATCTCCACTTTGCCCGGAGTTTTTTGTATATATTTGTTTAGAATGTGTAATTTTTTCATTTATTTAATGCGATCTACCAATACTACCTTTGCGATCGACTGGTAGATCGCGATCGACGTATTGAGCACCCCTGCGAAGACCAACCTTTTTGTGCCATGCTCATTTTCATGGCAAGTTTTATAATAAGATAAACATGGCATGTTGTGGTGATGTTCACAAAGTGTTTCTTAAACAAGAATCTTTCTGTTGGGACAAGTAAAATATATGAAAGAAACAAACAAAAAGTTATACTAGATTTATATCAGCTGTAAATACTGTACGCGTGTGGAGTGAGCACGCGTTTTGACGTCTCTGCTCTGTTTACCCTTTTAAGCCTTTTAAAGCCTTTTAAACACGTTTTTACGGTGTATTAGTGTCTTTTGTACACTCTAGTGTTTTATTATCTTAAATGCAATGGTTCCAGAGCATTACGTCTTTTAACACAAAGACCAAATCGAAACGCGCTAGCTCGGAGGCTACCACGAGCGCACCACAGACATGGAAAGTGACACTGCAATGACCACGAACGACATTAGTCGCCTCACATTGGAGCTTCGTGAGAGGGACCGTGCCACTATTGCAGACCTCCGTAAAGAAGTCCTTCGCCTCACTGCAGAGCTGCAGGATAAACAGTCACTCGTGTCCAAACTTTTTGATGTCGCTGGCGGGCAGCACTCACGGCTTATGTCACTGAGCGCTGCATACTGTGACACTGTCGTGTGGGAGAGGTCTGTCAGCTCTGGACCCTCCTGTTCTACACCTAAGTGCCCGGTTCGGAATAAAGAGCCTGCGGACTGCGAGGAGCCATCCAGCGCCGTGGCCCATGTCCTGAGCCTGTCAAACCGCTATGTAGCCCTCTCCGCTGACATACCAGCCCCCTCAGCAGAACCCCTGGACTCTGCAGCAAACTCTACTGCTGTCCGTGGATCCAGGTCCACTGCGAGAAAGACACTCTTAAAGGAAGCTGTCCTCAGACGAAAGAGTGGTCATTCCCCTTCTCTGACCCCAGTGCATCACCACCACTTACCTTCACCGGGTCAGCAGCAGCGACCCGAGCCTGCTCCTCTCGCTGCTCCAGCGTCTCCGTGCACACAGCGTGGGTTGCCCGGAGCTGGGAATCAACACCCCCACTCTTCTCCATGTGTTCAGCAGCGCCCTGGTTCGGACCCATCCCTGGATGAGCCCGCTGGTTCTGGCCATGGACACCGAGCGCCTTCTCCGCGGCCGCGTCCACTTTTCGCCCCAACTACTTTGATTATTGGAGATTCCATCGTGAGGCACGTCCGCTTTTTTAACGCGGTCACTCACTGCATTACCGGAGTTACAGTCCCAGATCTGCTCATCCGTCTCCCTCCTCTGCTTCACTCCCTGCCCGATACCATATCCAAGGTAATCGTGCATGTGGGTATAAATGATATGAAGCTGCAGCAGTCAGAGGTCACAAAGAAGCACTTTATGAATCTGTTCCGCCTCCTCCAGTCCTCCGGGTTGTGTGTTTTTATCTCTGGTCCAGTCCCGACTGTAAACCGGGGTGACTGCCTCTACAGTCGCGTTGTGGCGCTCAACATGTGGCTCCAGTCTACATGCAGCACTTTTAACTTTATTTTTGTGAACAACTTTGGCCTGTTCTGGAAGCGTCACGTGGCCTATCGTCCAGATGGTCTGCACCCGAACAGATACGGCACCAGTTTGTTGACGGACTTCCTGCGCCATGTTGTTCAGTGCTCCCCGAGGGGGGCGTGACTGTTTACATCTGAGGCTTCTCGGCCCCCACCACCCCCCTCCTCTTCCTTACCAGCACCGGGTGAGTACTGTGGTGCAAACACTGACCCCTGTCCGTCTGGCAGTGTAACGACAGTCCTGCCACTGAACTGTGCTGACTCAGTCATGCATCTGGAACTTAACAAAGTACAACAGAGTTCACTTTTTAAACCAATAGAGACTGTGTGTGTTCCTCGCACCAGCTCAGAAATGTGTTTTAACTTGAATAAACACAAATTTAAAAGAAGGACAGCAGTTAGACGGTCCAACTCTGGAAATCTAATTCCAGTTCTTTGTAATCAATCAACTAAACCCACTGACACTGATATTAATTTTAACCTTGCTCTACTTAATGTCAGATCACTATGCAACAAATCATTTTTAATTAATAATTTTATCTGTTCGTATGATCTTGATTTTATGTTTATGACTGAAACATGGCTTGACCATAATACAGGAGATGCAGTTTTAATAGAAGCCTCACCACCAAATTTCAAATTTGAACATGAAACACGAGAAAATAAAAGGGGGGGGGGGCATAGCAGCAGTTTTTAAAGATCGTATTGTCTCCCATAGGGTGTCTCTTGGGAAATTTTCATCATTTGAGTATGTTTCTTTTAAAATAGAACAAAAGAAATCTTCTTCCATTCTTATTATTGTTGTGTACAAGCCGCCACAGTCATGCCATAGTTTCACTGATCATTTCACTGAGTTGCTTTCAGTTGTGTGCACAGATTTTGATGGTTTAGTCATTATAGGCGATTTTAATATTCATGTGGATAATGTTAATGACAGATACGCAAAAGAGCTGAGTTCCATACTTGAATCCTTTGGCCTCACTCAGCATGTGAGTGGCCCCACCCATAGCAGAGGACACACCTTGGACCTGCTTATCACGAAAGGGGTGAATATTTCAAAAGTTAATGTAGTTGATGTTGCTCTGTCGGATCATTTCTGTGTATTTTTTAACATGTGTTTTGCTACCAGACCACCCGCTAAATATGAAATTGTTAGAAGTAGACACTTAAATGAAAACACGGGTGAACTATTTATGGGAATGATCCATTTTGAGAACGCATCATGTTCTACTGTAGATGAACTGCTTAACTCTGTCACCTCTAGTGTGTTGAATGTTCTGGACGCCATTGCCCCTGTGAAGGTAAAAATGGTCACAAATAAGCAAAAAGCCCCATGGATAAAAGCAGGCCCGGTCAGGGCACAGAAGCAAGAGTGCCGGAGAGCAGAGAGAAAGTGGAGAAAGTCCAACCTCCAGGGTGATTATAGACTCTTAAAAGAGAAGTTGTGTGAGTTTAACAGAGTACTACGTAGAACAAGAGAATTATACTTTTCTGAAACTATTGAAGGCTGCAGCAACAATCTGCGTGTTCTATTTTCAACAATCAATAGATTAACGAATCCCCCTGTTGAGTTGCCATTAGAACACTACTCCAAATCCAGGTGTAATGAGTTTGCACAGTTCTTCAGAGACAAGGTTCAGGGTATCAGAAATGCCATCACCTCTACAACACAAGTAACAATGCAACATCCAGTGAGGCTTTGTGAGCTAGCTCAATTTGCACCTGTCAATGATGAAACTGTTAAAAAGATAATCACAGGTCTTAGTTCCTCTACCTGCAGTCTGGATGTACTACCTCCTAGATTTCTGAAGTCTGTTATGTGTAGTCTATTACCCTCATTGACACAAATAGTAAACATGTCTTTTTTATCTGGAACATTTCCAATGGCCCTGAAAAAGGCAGTCATCAGGCCCCTCCTAAAAAAGAGCAGTTTGGATGCTGCGGTACTTGAAAATTACCGTCCCATCTCAAATCTGCCTTTCATGGGAAAAAATCTTGAAAAAGTTGCCTACCAACAACTTACTGAATTTTTAATATCTAATGACTCATTTGACATGTTTCAGTCTGGCTTTAGACCACACCACAGTACTGAGACCGCTCTAGTCAAGGTAACAAATGATATTCGGCTTAACACTGATGCAGGAAAAGTCTCTGTTTTAGTCATGTTAGATCTGAGTGCCGCTTTCGACACCGTTGACCATGAGATTCTCATGCAGAGACTGGAGGACTGGGTTGGTGTTGCTGGTACCGCCCTAAGCTGGTTTAGGTCCTATCTAGAAGAAAGGAAGTATTGTGTGGAGATTGGAAACTATGTCTCAGATAATATGGCCCTGACCTGCGGAGTGCCACAGGGGTCGATTCTGGGACCTCTCCTGTTCAATATTTACATGCTGCCATTAGGTCAGTTAATTCAAAGTATGAAAGTGTCCTACCACAATTACGCTGATGACACTCAGATCTATGTCTCACTGACTGCAGGAGAGCATGGGCCGGTGGACTCACTCCTTCGCTGTATCCAGCGGATCAGTGAGTGGATGCAATGCAATTTTCTCCAGCTAAATGCGGACAAAACCGAAATGATTGTCTTTGGTCCCGAGAAACAAAGAGAGACCGTCATTTGTCACCTTCAGTCTCTCTCCCTAAGGCCCTTAAATAAGGTCAGAAATCTGGGAGTAATAATGGACTCTGACTTAAACTTCAATAGCCACATTGGATCGCTAACATCAGCAGCTTTTTATCATCTGAAAAATATTGCCAAAATTAAAAATATTGTGTCCAGGGCAGACTTGGAGATTCTTATCCATTCTTTTGTTTCCAGTAGGCTGGATTACTGCAATGGCCTGCTCACAGGTATCTCCAAACATGCAGTAAGACAGTTGCAGTATATTCAAAATGCTGCAGCCCGAGTCCTGACTAGAACCAGGAAGTACGACCACATTAGTCCGGTCCTCAGGTCTCTGCACTGGCTTCCCGTGGCCCAGAGAATAGACTTTAAAGCAGCTCTCCTGGTGTACAAGTCTCTCCATGGCCTTGCACCAAAGTACATCCATGATATGCTAGTCCCATATGAACCAGCCCGGACTCTGAGGAGCGCAGGGACGGGACTCCTGTTAGTGCCCAGAGTCAGGACTAGACAGGGGGAGGCTGCTTTTCAGATTTATGCAGCTGGAGTCTGGAACGGTCTTCCTGAGGATGTGAGACTGGCTGCCTCTCTGTCAATGTTCAAATCCATGTTAAAGACTTTTCTTTTTTCCCGTGCATACAACTAGAGAATTTTATCTTTTTAACACACCTTGTTATTTATTGTTGTAACTTTTTGTGTTTTTAACTATTTTATTGTTTTTAATTACTTGTGTGATTTTTATGTTTTTAAATTACTTATGTGATTTTAATGCTTTTTAATTACATATGTGTTTTTAATTGTATTTTAATGGTGATGATTTGTGCATTGTGTGGTGTGGACTGTGAGGCGCTTTGTGTTGCCCTGTGCAGGAAAAGCGCCCTATAAATAAAGATTGATTGATTGATTGAATATATTTAGTATTCAAGCAACACGCATCACAAGGGCCTCCTCTCCACGGCATTGTCCTCGCTTTAGACACACGTCCTGCACGTTTCATAACAGCTGCTTTCCCGACCTCCAGCTCAGTACCGCGCGGTGAAGAGGGGCTCTCTGGGTGCTCTGACCATGAGCCAGCTGATGAAGAGGCAGCTGGAGCATCAGTCCAGTGCCCCTCACAACATCAGCACATGGGACACAGGTGACGGCACGGCAAACAACAGTCTCACGTTCACTGCAATAAGTGATGGAAAATAAGTCACATATTGCTCAAATTTGGAAAGAGAATTATCTAAATTTAACTGCCTTAAAATAAGATTTGCCAATAGGACAAGCAAAATTATCTTGTTTTGAAAATATACCAGAAATGTCTCCTATGGAATGAGAAAAAAATGTAACCTTGAAATAAGACTACACAGCTTTTCCCATTGGCAAATCTTGGTTTAAAACAGTCTCTAATTAAGACTTTACTCTAATTAACATTAAAAAAACACTTGATTCAAGCCATTATTCCCTCATATTTTATATTTTTTGCAGTGCAGGGTTCAAGAAGCATTGGAGCTTCAGGGGAGCATTGAAATCACACCGCTAAAATCATGAATCATTACAAAACGTACATTTAAAATAGTTGATTTTAAAAGTGGAACAGATGCAGTCCTTCAGCAGTTCGCACCGCTAATAATAACTTGTTTTAATCTTTGAATTTGAACATTGTCAGAGTTTCAGCAAGACTGTTCCAGATTTTAGTGCCATGAATCAGAATAATATCTAATGTCATTGTAAGTAACAGGAAGTCAATAACCAGGAAATGGCTTTGGCTCAAGGTGCAATCTTAAAATGACTATATATATACAAGTGTACCACACAATAGAGATTTAACAGTGCAGTAAAGTGACAGTTGTTTAAGGATTTATAATTGTTACAGCTATCATTTATTTCATTCAAATGTATATCAATGAAAATGATAAATCTACAAATACACAAAATGTGAATGAAAACGAGCATAAAAAACTAGAAACTAATGACGTCTGCCTCGTTTCACACTAAATAGTTACAGTTTAATGTTAGTATTTGTAGCAGCTGATTCTAATATTATTAAGCTACCATCCTCTTGTAACTCTGTGTGGTTTTGATGTTCCCGTCAAAAGCAGATTGTTTGGATTTAGACAAAGCAGAAGGCAATAAGAACATACACTTAGAGTCTTGGTGCCTTTGATCTGATCCACGGTGATGTCACCTCAGGTCCGACCAAAACCAGCCTCCTGTCGGCCCCCAGCACCGTGAGCATGTTTGTGCCGGCACCAGAGGAGTTCATCGACGAGCAGCCCACCACCATGTCTGACAGGTGAGCCACGGGCGCCATGCAGTGTGGAGCCCCACCACTCACTAATGTGTTTTTTTATTTGATTATTTTAATTAAATATTTATTATGTATTTTGTCCATTTTAATTGTTCTATGATTAATATGTATTTTTAAATTGTAATCATTTAAACCTTTTTTTATATTTTTGTAATATCTTGACTTTATTTGTCATATTATGTCAGCAATTTTTTCTTCTTTTATTATTATTAGATTATTATTATTTTCCTGATTGTTGACAGAATGGTCGTTGACAGTTTAATTATTATTTAGACTTGTGACATTTTTTTTTTTACTTTTTACAATTCATATTAAATACATGAAAGTGCCCTATATGTACAGTGTGTATTTAGTCAGCCACTCTTATGCGAGTCCTCCCACTAAAAAAGATGAGAGTTGTCTGTCAGGTTTTATCTTTCTACATCCTTCAGCTGGCTCAGAAAATATCCCCGGCCCTAGTTCAGTTGAAATTGTGCTCACTTTGGTTTAAAAAATGTAAATATGGAGTCATTTGTATCTAGATCCGTATTGTGTTGTGTCATGTGTATCGAGATCTGTAACACATCGTCTGGCACAGAAAGATTCCTCCTCCTGCTGTAGCTGCCCTCAGAGACACTATTCTTGTACTTTGAGTGTATCACAGATCTACAGATGTATTTTATACTTATTTATAAGCCAGAGATTGAGATTTTATTTTATTTTAAAGTATAGAGTTGTGACATACCTAATATTCACTTATCTTGTGCTGTGTGTTACTCATTCCTACTCAATTAATCATTTATTTGTATAGCATAATTTGTGTACAAGACAATTCAAAGTGCTTCACTAGAGCAATTTAAAACACAGACCAATATGCGTAAAAAATGTAACAGTAATTTAATATCAAAACAGAGCAGCATAAAAGTATTGGATTCAAACTCTTATTAAAATATGGGTTTGAAAAGAGACTAAAAAAAGCAATAAATACAGTCTCTGTGCTACAGTAGTTACAGATGGAGACAAATGCATGAATAAGGATCTCCAAGTCTGCCTTAGACACTATATTTTTGATTCTCACCATGTTTCCTCTGTTCTGTAACCTGTGATGCAACACTTTCCCCACTGTGGGACGAATAAAGAATCTCTTAAGGTTAACCTTCTCCTCTGCTTGGTCGTCACATGGCGCAGATGTCGCGACTGTGCTGCTGTGCTGGAGGAGTACGACGAGGAAACCCTGGGCCTGGCGGTGGTCGTGTTGTCCATGTTCATCCACCTCAGTCCGGATCTGGCCGCTCCCATGCTCCTGGACATTATGCAGTCCGTGGGCAGGTGAGCTCCGCAGCCCACAGCACTCCACAGCCTGAATCAACTTTCATGACTCCGACTCATGCATAATTCCAACGCAAATGTAACTCGCTTTGCTCTGCTTTTGCTCGTTGCAGGCTTGCCTCCAGCGCCAATTTTTCAGGGCAAGCGGAAAGGTATGAAAAGACGAGTATTTCTGCATGTGTTACTATTCTAGACTCATTGAAAAAGTGAGTTGCTTCTTTGTTATGAGTTTGTTATGGCAGGATTTGAATGACTTAATATTTTTGTAGAATTATCAAGAATGTATTTGCCATTTGCAGTAAAAGCACATTGGAAAACTGTGCAGGACTACCCCAGTGTGCACCATGCAGGCAGAGAAGATAGTACACACCAGACTGCCAATTTTTTACATATTTGATGAGATTAGGAAAGCTGAAAGTTGACTATGATTAGTGTTATAATAAAATAGTGTTTAAGATTTATCAGCAATCATGTAGTCAGTAGAGAAAACTGCAAGCGTTTACATATAGATTAAGATTAATCCAATACCCACTACTACACACTACATTGGATGCCTTCAACAATGTAACTTTACCCCAGTATCCAGCAGATACTAGGTTCAGCACAAGATTATCAGATCAGATTCAGATTCATTTTATTAGCCATGTGCAGTATAAAAACTACATTGGAATACAGTTGCAAAAAAGGTACTCTGTGTGCACCGACAGACTAAAGAGCATGATACAATGTAATATAAAATACACATACACTGAAAATAAAAGAATAAAAAAACAGCTGACACTGTGGCACCGATCAACAAAAACGGGGTAAAAGCAGGAATTAAAGTGCTCTGTTTAGGAACCTAACAGCCTGTGGAAAAAAGCATAGCGAGATGTCTTGCATCTCAGCGACCGATATCTTCTGCCAGAGGGAAGAAGCTGGAACATGGCTTTCCCAGGGTGGCCAGAAGAGTCATTGATGATTTTAAGAGCTTTGTTTAAAAGTCTGGATTCATAAAGAACCTCCAGAACAGGAAGCTCACAGCCCACGGTCCTCTTTGCAGAGCGGAGCACCTTGTTTAAAGCTCTCTTTTCTTTATCTGTGATGTTTCCAAACCACACAGACACAGAACCAACAAGTAAACTCTCAATGGTGCAGCGATAAAAGTTAAGCAGAATCTTAGAGTTAGTGGTAAATTCTCTAAGTTTCCGCAAAAAGAAGAGCCGCTGACGAGTTTTCTTAACGACCCTGTTAGTATTTTTGTCCCATTTCAGGTCGTTAGATTATGATGATTTGTGTAGATAAACTAAAATATACTGAAAGGGTGTATGCCTATCAAGACTTTTATATCAGTCAGTGTCATTCTATTGTTATTTTTATCCTCTTACATTCACAATGCAGTGTGTTATTTTAGTCCCTTGCTCTCAAAACAGTTTGGTTCTATCAACGATCACTTTTATCTTCAGTCACATCTTTAGATCAGATTTTTCAGACAGAAAGGGAAAAAGAGAGGACCACACTCACTCAACCAATTACCTACCAGCCCAAAGTGTCAAATACTGACTCATTGGGCTCTTTCTTACAAAATATAACGTGTTTTATAATAAGAGTCTATTACTTTGTCATCACCGTGTGTGGAATGATTGGAACAATATCTGAACTCTGAACATTGTAAAGCGCTTTGAGTGACCTTGGTCTGTAAAATGTGCTATATAAATAAACATTACTTACTTACTTCTCTCTCTCAGCATGTTGATCCCAGGGAACGTAGCAGGGGTGGCAAAGCAGTTTCTCCGCTGCATGTTCCACCAACTGGCCCCGAATGGAATCTTACCTCAACTTTTCCAAAGCAACATCAAAGGTTCAATTGTTTATTTAATTTTAAGTTGTTTTTTTTTTTTTTACATCTCACTTACTTTTCTTTGTCTTTGCAGATGGAAGCTTCCTGAGAACCCTCGCATCCTCGCTCATAGACTTCAACGACCTGAGTTCTGTGGCTGCCCTGAACATGCTCCTCGAGGTGGGTGATTTCAGGTCCACGACCAGGAGGTGGAGCTATTGTCAAAGCTTTGAAGCAGCGGCGGTGGCTTCATGTTAAGTCTGTGCACTCACCAACCAGTCCAGGCTGAGGAAAACCTGCCTATCTCTGTATTACTGCTAATGTAAATCAATTACACAGTTAAAAACGCACTGATCCGAGACCTCGAGAACCGCCGACGTCTACTCCTCTCCTCATGACTGATTGATCCGTGTTGAATAATCGGTTTATACGGGAAAGCCCTGTATAGATTCTCCTTATATAACTCTTTGTAATGGCTCACATTTTTGCCCCGCAGGGATTAAACAATAAGAAAAGTCTCCCAGCAGGCGGCACGATGCTTCACTGTCTCGAAAACATCGCTACCTTCATGGAGGCCCTCCCCATGGACTCCCCCAGCAACCTGTGGACCACAATCTGCAACCAGTTCCAGACATTTCTCACTAAACTGCCCTCCGTGCTCCCTCTCAAGGTAGTCACTTAGTCATGCTCCGATATGCGCTGATGCGATTATAACGGCAGGAGGAGGCCTCCAGCAGTGCCCTTGTGGAGCGCCTTACCAAACAAGCTAAAAATTGTAATTGATGTGAATCTATTGCGTTTGACCTTGGAGTGTTTGAATTCATGGGACACTCCCAGCACTTGTGCAGAGGGCGGCTTTTAAGCGTTTTTAAACATGTTTGGAGGGATTCAATGAGTCTTTAATATTCTTAGTTCAATCTAGAAAGCCTGCAAAATTGCATTAGAATGATATTGTAAAATACATATATGTCAAGAATGCAGGAATAGACAATTATACTCAGCATGATAGGGCACTAATATATATATTGCATTTGAACATGAATGTTTGTTAAGATTGGCAATTCGACCCCGCTGGAAGGAGTTTAAGACATGACATGATACTCCACTGAACAGGCGGTGATGGGAGGAGGTGGGTTGCTGCTCGAACCGCAGCTTGAAGCTGAGAGAACTGAGAGGCTCTGTTTAATGCAGCCATGAAGTGATGATGAGCTCAGCCTCAGCTCTCTGACTGAACTGAGGCTGATAATGAGCTCAGGCGCAGGTGTGTAGAGAGGGAGGAGTCAGTGTGGCAGGCACAGCGTTATGGTCGTCCAGTCTGAATCACGCTTAAGCTTCATTTGAAGGCACTTTTTCTTCCTTTCTTTGATCCTCAATGTTTGGTTTGTTTGTTTGGGTGGGATCGGCACCATGCTGCAGACATGTATCAACATAATGTTAATTTCTTACTCATTCATTATGTGGTAATACTTGGGCCTGATTTTATTATTTTATTGCACCCTAAAAGTCTACCAATCTAAATGGTTAAAACAATTGTAGGTTCGACCAATATCTTGGTCTGAATGATTTTCATCAGTTGGTGTTATTCCAAATTAGATAGGTTGAATTATGCAACAATACTATTCACTCTTCTGATTCTGATACAAGTCGCAATATGTTCATTGTGGCGCCACCTGCATGTGAAAGCCAGGTCATACCTCAGAAGCTAAGCAGGGCTGAGCCTGGTTAGTACTGTGATGGCAAACCTGTAGGAAAATCAGCTGCCCCAAGGGGTGCCTGAGTTTGTAATATTGTGCATGTATGGTAGCAGTCATTGGTAATGGTTTTTAACCAATATTTTGGTAAAAATAATTGGCAGAATATATTGTCTAATATAGATTGGTTTGTCCTGGATGAGTCTTGGTCTCATTGGGGGAATGTATTGTGGTGCTTGTATAAAGCATGTGGACCCCTGTCCCAAAACAAATCTATCCTGTGGGAGACAATAAAGTTGTTTCTTACAACCATTTATAAACTGGTTGTTTTATCCAAAAGACCAGTCGAACATATTATTACAGTGGTGCAAATGTATAAATCCCATTTCCACTGATCGTTTGGGATCTAAAACTAATCACTTGATAAAAATAATAATCGTCCATTTACATGCATTTTAGAATAATTGTTAATACCAGCCTACAGAGTCATACTTTGTTCTGCTCTAGTTTGTGACCTAGTGTCTTCTCTAAATGCTTCTCCAGCCCAAAATATTCTCTTCTCTGTCACACTCTGTTGTTCTTTTTCCCAGTGCCCCATGGACTCCAGTTTGCGGATTATCATTTGTCTTCTGAAAATCCCAAGCACAAATGCAACCAGGGTACTGGGAGAATTCATTTTAAGTATTGATTCATCCAGCTCCCAGCTGCTGCTTGTGTCTGATTCTTGTTTCTGTCACACACAGAGCCTCCTGGAGCCTTTCTCTAAGCTGCTGAGCTTTGTTATCCAGTATGGCACCTTCAGCCTGTCCTACCTGGTCGAGCTGTGCGGCCTGTGCTACAAATCTTTTAACAAGGTACAACTCATTACCATCCGTCTTTATTTCATATCTCCTTTATCATGCTTTTGGTTCACTCACATTATACAGTAGTACTTGAATGCAAATGTTTCTCTCATATTATATATATTATTACAACATGGTTCATGCTCATCAAAAACAGTTGTTTTACATCCATCCATGCTAATATCAGGAACTTCTGGCACAAACATGTAACTCTGCCCTTTCTGTCTAAAAGCTCCTCTTTCAGTGCTGTAATAGTATGATGTATCACTCAAATGTTTTTCTGTTTTTTAAAACAAATTGTTGCCCCTAAAGAAGCTTTTGTCATGTCCCAGAAAGAACTTTTCTTTTTACATTCACATGACTGTGTTTGCAGCCAGTCCTTTTTGAATTTAAAATAATAATAATAATAATTCAAATTCAAAGACCTCCCTCCGGTGGGTGCATAGGGGGTAACAGGCCGATGGCGTTGATCATCCTATCACCATATATTCTCTACTTTATCTGCCTCATTTTCATGTTAAAGGCAGACAAAGATAATGAATAATATTTCTTCGTTAAAGTCCATTCATTTCCACCGAACTCCCTTCGTCATATTCGTTGGAGTGATACAGGTTTTGTGTTTAGCCTCATTTCAACCGCATCACTTGCCCTTTTCCCAAGTATTTAGAGTGCGTTTGATTGAGTTTTGTTGTTTTAAATGCTATTTTAAAGCAATGAAAATGCTGAAATGAATGACCAATTACCAGGGATATTTTATTATATTAGTTTTCAGGGGATAATTCAGACTCCAAAATGCTATGTTGCCATTTCTCAACAACTCAATTATGATAAAACACCAAACGCTAAGACGTCTAACAGTAGTTTATAATCTCTTAATTAGGCACCACCCTGGCTCTTCTTTACGGCTGTATTGCGTCATTACTGAGCCTTAAATGTGATTTAGTGTGATGTTAAAATGCTCCCACTCACCAGCCATTATGTCATCGCTCTTTAAGCATCTAAAGCTGGAGCCAGGAGCCCTAGTCCAGACCAGATATGTGGCCCCTGGGTTGCTGATGATTCACGAGGCAATCCGGCCCTATTGATTAACATGACTAGTTGGTGAGCTCAGGTCCAGAATGTATGGTGCATTTTGGGACAAAGAGGGAGCCAGGCCGGTCTGCGCCGCTGGGGGAGATGGATACGAGGTCCTCCGCCGCTGTCAACTCTCTGTGCTTTATGTCTCCTGCGCTATTGATTTTCTGCACTTAATTCCGTGCTGTTTAATATCCGCTTTTCTGAACCTCGGGCCGGTGTATGAGCGATTGCCTGTCCGCTGCGGTTTGTTTTAGGTAGATAAGGTTGGGTTCATGGGATATTGCATTGTTGTATGCAGACCGTATTTGGAAAAGTCAAGTGAGGAGATTTGTTGACTCATTGTTAATATCTAATGTCATTATTACAGAGCATGTGTGTAACTGTCGGTTCAATATCCGCTCTGATAGCATATACAAACAGGAACACAACTTATGACAGTACACACGTTAGGCAAAACCATGTGACATTATTCGTTCATTACGTATGGAGTTGTTTTTAGCTCCATCCAGGAACTTCTGTCTCAAATCGGCTCAAACACCTTCCACCGCACTTTATCAAATGTATTACGCCATGACAATCCTTAGACTGTGACGTTATGGAAAGAACTGTTTTCTGTCTTTAAAAACTTATATTAAAAAAACAAGTAAAAACAATTCAATTAAATTCAACTTATTCTTGTATAGAACAGCAAAACAGCAGTTTTCTCGTAGGATTTAACAAAAGCCATTGGTCCATGAGGGGCAGAGACCAATGTCCATAGATTTTGGTAAAGTCCATGAATGTCGTTGAATGTCGAGTCTCGTGGATCATCACCGCTGTCCAAAACAAATGTGTTGCCTCTAGTTTAGTTTTGGTCCTTCATGACTGCCTTCTGTTACACCGCACTGTTTTTGATAATCACTATCAATCAATTACGTTTATTTATATCTCCTGCAGTGCAACGACTCAAAGTGCATTACAAAGACGACACATCAATGAAGCCAGACACAGTCACAATAAAAAACAGTCCAAAAATAAAACCATACACATTCAGCCTGTTCAGTCACCAGAGTGCCTCCTGCACGTGCCAGAAGACTATTTTAGTTTCTACATACATCTTTTTTATCATTATTACTAAAAAAGTAGAATATAATTTCCTATGTAAATACTGTATACTATATGGACTAAACCGATATTGATATTATAAAAGATTTTGACTTTATAACTATGTATAATACGTCTGTCTCTATCTCTGAAGTGTCAATTCAGTTTAAAGAAAAGTTGTGACATGATGCTACAGATTATCTTTACTCTCATGACAAGTTAAATATTCTCTAGATCAGGTTAAAAAACCAACAAGAAAATACATAATACATTCACGCAGCTCCATTGAATTTCATCCAAAAGTCGACTCAGAGAAAAGCATTGATTTCTACAGACGTTTATCCCAAAAGCCAAACACTCGGCGTGGGCGCAGGTGGCCTTCAGCGCAAGAATAGGTCAGAATTTTCTATTTACCGGAGCGCCATGCTCCATTAAGTTTTAATTATAAAGTGCATGCACAGGTATGCACGTTAATCACAGCCAAATGTCATTCTGTTTTGCAGACTTCTCTCGCTGCTTCCTTAAACTCTAAGGAGCTGCAGCAGTGAAGTACAATATGGAATCATGAACAAGAAATTACAAGAAAAAATGAGTTGAGGCATATATACTATACTTCTGTTTTTTCAGAAGTATAGATGTAGTAAAAGAGCAAAGTTGTTCTTAATCCACCTGTTGGAAGTCACATCCAAATAGAATTACACTTTTGGTCGATCAACTGCGGCTGCCTTTAAACATGACATTAAGGCAAGGCAAGGCAAGGCAAGGCAAGGCAAGGCAAGTTTATTTATATAGCACAATTCATACACAAGGCAATTCAAAGTGCTGAACAAAACAAGAAAGCATTAAAATTATAAATTATCACAGAACATTAAAAAGAAAGATAAAAATATAAAACATTAAACATTTATCTTATTTTTGCATTTTGTATTTTTGTAAGTATGTGGGATATTTAGAAAATATATGGAAAATCATGATGCTACAGCAAGATTGGACTGGAATGCATTAGCACAGGCAGTAGTGGAAAATCCCATGCTATATTAACACCTGAATTCCACATGGTGTGGTGTAATTAGGCATGCAGCTGTAACTGTGACAACTGGAGATTTTTATTTATAGGCACTTTTGATTTCAAAGGCAGCTGCTTTGTTCTTGAAGTATCATCAAAGAAGCATTTAGACAGCGGGATATGTTTGGACTGATTTATTTTTCTATATTTATTAACACTTTCGGCTCAATCTAAAAGAAAGCCAAATGCATCATTATGCAGATGATGTGTTTTATGTGAGTGGACCCACTGCGGAGCAGGCCATGCTCAATGACAGGAAGATTTTTATGAAGTTCAAAATTCTGTAAAAAAGAATGCAATTTTTCTTTAAAAACAGCTAATATATATGCAAGGTTAGGTTAAAATGGTATTTTGAATGAAAGAATCGCCTAGGGTTTTTACTTCACCAGGGTTATCATAGAGTGATATGGTTTATGTTATTATCATTCTGCCTCTTTACTGCGACAGGTTCAAAACTCATCTCTGTAACTTTATAAAAACATAGATTTTACTTTGCATATTGACAAGGCTCATAATTAGAAATGCAAGTGTGCATAGGCTATAGGCAAATTACAACACAATACAGATTAAGATCATCCCACAGTGGGTGCATTTTTGGATATTAGCATGGATGGAGCTTAAACCGACTCCAGGTGTGTTTTTAGTACAATTTAGGAACAATGTTATTTACCTGAATTTCTCCTACAGGAATCTATCCAAGTATCTATCTAATCCACAGCTTACATTCTGTAGTTCTGTGTGTGCCACTGAAGTCCACTGCAGCAAATGTGCACCTTTAAGTGAATATTGTGCAGCTTTATTGTCCCCAACAGGATAAAATCCCAGCTCTTTGTCTTTAATAGCGTCTCATAGTGGAGGAGAATGAGTGCTGTAAACAGGCAGCTCACTCCTATGTGAATGACATGAACAAAGAGTGCAGCGTGTCCTGGGGGAGGCAGTCTGACAGCCGGGGACTCGCCTGGGACACTGGAGCTGAGATGCGGACTGGCCTAAATCTACTCCGCCGTTCGCCTGGCTTCTTCTTCTGCCCCCCCTCCTCCCCTTCATCCCTCACCCCCACCTCCCCCTGTATTCAGATCATTTAGTCAGAGAGCGTTTGAGCATCAGTGAGTCTCTGTCTTGTCCCGTGCAGGAGAGGGATAAGTTCTACATGTCTCGCATCGTGGTGCTGGAGCTGCTGCAGGCGCTCAAGTTCAAGTCCCCCCTGCCCGACACCAACCTGCTCCTGCTGGTCCAGGTAACGCAAACGTCTGCATGAATACATCACCAACTAGGCAAGGAAAAGCAGGTTTACACAAGGCAACTCAAAGTCAAAGAAGCAAACAATCACACAAGGCATTAAAACCATATAGAATGACCGTATATTCACAGAAAATAAAATCCTTCAGTTGTATTCACAACGAAAGATAACTGTTTTTATTATTGCCTGAATGTTCCGGCCTGTGACGCGTGTATTTCCTCAGAGGTGATGACTGATGCAATCCACCTGCTGGAGTTTAGCTAGAAGTGATACAAACTCTGTGTGTTACATATGACTTTATTACTGCTGTATCCGATTTCAATTAAACAAAGGTTTGCTGCTATTTTTTGTTCCTTCTGTTATACAAAAAAAATGATGGCAGGTTGAAATGCCATGTTAACCCGGACAACAGTGGAAAAGGGAGGGGAGGTGTCTTTTCATCACAAGGAAGACTGGATTATGTCAGAATAGAAATTTAAAACAAACTTCCAATTTCAAATTTTTCTAAACTCCCAGTACAGTGCACCCAGGACCAGAGGGAATCACATTATAATGGACTACGGCAAGTTTCTCATCCAATATACAAAAAACTTTATAAAGGAAAAAGCAGCGCCTGTAAAAGCCTTACTCTTATTATTCAGCTGGTTACGCTACTAATCTACGAATCTTGCAGCCCCAATTCAAATAACATTTTATAGACTGAATGTAGCGCTCATGTTTTACAGCAAGAAGATTTTGAGTTTGATCCTGTGTTGACTCGTCCTTTCTGTGTGGGGGTTGTATGTTTATCTGTTTATCGGGGTGGGCTCCAATTATTTCCACAACCCCCAAAACATGAATCATAAGTAAAATCCTCCAGCTCTGGTCCTAACTACAGTAAGAGCACTCAGACCCAGACGGGATTGCGTAAATGCACTTTAATTATCCTATGAGAATAAGTAGTGTATATTACCTTGTGTGGCCGTTTTGAGTTCATTTTGACAATCTGTTATGTTTGGCGTCCATCCCGATTATAGCTGCAAGTTACTCACTGAGACTAGATGATTATAATAGTTATGTCCTTGGCCTAATACCAGCAGTGTGTTCAGTATGCATGTGCCCACCTGTGAAAGCCCCTCACCTCACTTACCCACGCTCTGTCCTCAGTTTGTTTGTGCAGATATCGGGACACGTCTTGCTGAATCCACCATCATCCAGAAGCACATGATCGCCACACTGCCGGGGGTAAGACTTTAACTGTTTGCATCTTAATAGCATCCGCCTCATAAACCAGCGGGAGGCAAAGATGGCCCCCGCTGAGTCACAACTGTCTATGTTTTCTCCAGTGCACCACAGCAGCCATGGAGTGCATGAGGCAGTACATCAGTGAGCTGCTGGACTTCATCGCCGACATGCACACGCTGACCAAGCTCAAGGTAAGGCGGGCGTACTGTGACACTGCAAAAGATGCAAAATGTGACTTTTTAGATTGCCGTGAGTTGCCAATCTACTGTTCAATATTTTATCCACAATTCAATATTTTTGCGATTCTCAACATATTGTGAAAAAGGAATCATTGGGATTTGATTTGATGCATTAGATTCCGTTCTGGGTTCAAGGTAAGCCCACCGCTGCTACCTCCTTAAAACATAGGCTGTACGGGACAATGCAAACCCACTAGCTCGCTCTATGAAGCCTCATAGTGAATTTGAAAAGTAAACTCCTCTTGCTGTAACTGTTTTTTTCACACTCCCCATTTTTGGGCATAAAAATCTGTGGTTCACCGCTCTCTATCATCCTGGTGTTTTGATAATGTCTTCATCCAGATATGAGCCCTGACAACTAACCTATCACGTGCCTTCTATGCCAGAATTTGGGACAGAAGGTAGCTGCTGGGTAGTTGCTCTTAGAGGTGGGAATTGGCAAAAAATTGACAATTAGTTAGTGTTACAATGTTTGGGTCAGAATTCAATATTATCGCGATTCTCAACATATTGAGATAATAAGTATTGTGATTCTTGTCCCTCATAGTATTCAAAGGCATTAGGCAAAGGGCAAGTACTTTATCCTTGAACATTGAGGACACAGAACCTTATTACAGGGCAAGACATAATGAATAATTATGTAGAAAATTACCAAAGTAAACTCAGAGAACACAAAAGTGAAACAGATAATTATTTAATTAAATGTTGCATTACTTCGCTCTACAGTATTGATTTGGTATTGACCAGAATGAGTCTGGTGTGTGTGTGAATGGTTGGTGGTGGTCGGAGGGGCCGATGGCACATACTGGTTGCCTCGCTTCTGTCAGTGTGCCCCAGGGCAGCTGTGGCTACAACAGTAGTTTATCACCACCGTGTATGGAGAGAAAGAATAATGTAAAGCGTCTTTGAGTGTCCAAAAAAAGCGCTATTTAAAACAGATGCTAAAAAAAAAAACAGATGGATTATTAATTGTGTGCGCAAAATATCACGATACTGGACAGAATTGATTTTTCCCCCAATCCTATTCCCACTCATAGCTCCTGTTCGATCTCCAGTAAAAGAAAAAAACTATGGGTAATGTTCAGTTGGTCTACTCCTTCTTCAGTCCATGCTTCTAATATAATACCAAAAGAAAATTAAGTTAATAAATGTAAATCTTCACTTCAACAGTTGTTCTCAGTTCATTTGCGGCGTCTGTAATCCTCATTTCTGTGGCCTCTCCTCCGTCACTCAGAGCCACATGAAAGCCTGCTGTCAGCCCCTGCATGAGGACACGTTTGGGGGGAACCTGAAGGTGGGACTGGCTCAAGTGGCTGCCATGGAGATCAGCAAGGGCAATCACCGCGACAACAAGGCTGTGCTGCGCTACCTTCCCTGGCTCTACCACCCCCCCTCCACCATGCAGCAGGGGTAAGCTAATGTCTCCTCAATGGCAGTTTATGTTTAATGTAGCACTGAGGTGGGGAAAGCCAAACACGCAATTATCCTCACGGTGCATTGAGCTGCGTTGGGAGTGAATGGATGACGTGAGGCTTCTACAGTATGTGTAAATGATTTTGCTATGATTAAAGTGTCCACAAAACACTGGTAAATGTTTTTGGTGCAGACATTCTCTTCAGTAGGTTGCATCTACAGCATAAGATTCACTTACTCACTCCACTGTGCCCAGCTAAGAACTCTGTGTACTGCTGGGAATTATTGTAGGACTAGAATTTAGAATGAATTTAAAGATGAAATATTATGTATTAGTTTTGTCATATTATTAACATAATTATGGGACTTTCTACTTTGTAATTTCATGTTTTTATAAAGTGAAACAATATATCAAATAAAAACGTGGGGAAATGTAACCATTTGAAAATGACTGGCTGCTAACACAGACGTGTGATGTAAAGAACGTAATTTCACTTGAGAAATTGCCAAAACTAATTTATGGGCAATACTTTTGTTTTAAAAAGCCAACATAAAACACTTTCTGTCATTAGCATTTGCATTCCAGGCACATGAACCCTGTGTGTCTTTGATAACTGAAGTGTTTTGTGTTTTCAGGCCAAAAGAATTCATCGAGTGTGTGTCACACATCCGTCAGCTGTCCTGGCTGCTCCTGGGCGCACTGACCCACTGTGCCCTGCATCAGGGCTCCACCTCCTGCATGCCTATCCCCCTGGACGCCGGCTCCCACATCGCAGACCATCTTATCGTCATCCTGATCGGCTTTCCAGAACAGTCCAAGGTCTGCCAAATGCCCCGTACATCGCTGTAGTGCCTCTGGACGAGTGGCTCCTCCACATCTCTGTTCAGCAACAACTCTGTTGACAGAGGAACTGCTTTTTCATTTTTGCCTAAAATTTCCGGGCCGCACTGTTACATAACAATACATATATTTAATAAGGGATACGGGATATTGGCAGATATTGACACCCAGGGAAGCCTGGGTGTCAATATCTGCCAATACCCCCCTCCCCCCTCCCCTTAAATCACAGCTAACTTGTTAAAAATGGCTTTGAATTGTGTGATTTATCAGTTATTGTAAGTAATCAGAGCTTGTTTGAGTGAAAAGTTGAAACCCAATGACATTCTGGGTTAAAGCCATTTTTAAAGCTGCAAATGTATCTATAGGAACTATCCTATATCTCCCTAATTGTAATTGTATAATGTATATTTGTCCGCAGACGTCGGTGCTGCACATGTGCTCGCTCTTCCACGCCTTCATGTTTGCTCAGCTCTGGACCATCTACTGTGAGCAGGCGGCGGCGGCCCCCTCCCTGCAGAACCAAAACCAGACCGAGTTCTCCTCCACCGCCATCCTTACGGGCCTGGAGTTCTGGAGCCGTGTCACCCCCAGCATCCTGCAGCTCATGGCCCATAACAAAGTGGTCAGTGCTGCCTCTCCTCCGTCCGGCTCTAGTGCAAAGAAATAAGCATGAGGGATCCTTAATTTGTCCCACCGTGGGGAAATTTCAGTGTTGCAGCGCACAGACAGGACAGTAGTAAGAGCACACAATGTTTCTTAACAGCTGTAAAGGCTTCAATATCTTTATATATAAATATCTCTATCTGTCTTTATATATATAGTGCAAAGTTATACACATATGTGGCAGGATGATAAGTAGACATTCAGTGGATATTCTGAAATTGCAGTATTGCACATCGCACAAGATTACAGCAATGACTATTTACAGATGGAAGACATGTACAGGCTCAGCAGTTCTCATTGTACAGTCTGACAGCAGCAGGAAGGAAAGACCAGCGGAACCTCTCCTTCACACAGCAAGGGTGAATAAGTCTGTCACTGAAGCTACTCTCCAGAGCAGACAGAGTGTCCTGCAGGGGGCGACAGTCATGGTCCAGCAGAAATGTCTATTGAATGTGAAATTGGAGGAGAGTGTTTTCACAGGAGAGATGATGCAATGAAAAGCTGTGTGTTTTTTATTCAGATGGTGGAGATGGTGTGTCTTCATGTGATTAGTTTGATGGAGGCCTTACAGGAATGCAACTCCACTATATTTGTCAAGGTATTTTTTTAGTTTTTTCTTATGCAATGCTTTCACTGGCTCTTCATCTTTAATACTTTCTGTATTTCGTTACAGCTCATCCCCATGTGGCTGCCAATGATTCAATCCAACCTTAAGGTGAGATTTGTAAGAACGCTATGATGCAATAAGAGTTTAAAGCTACAGTGCATAACTTTGAAACCACAATTAAATGTAATAAAAATGTAATATAATCCAAAAACAAATAATAATCCAGTGTGGTTCACTATCACTAGTTTACACACGCATGTTTGTTTGGCCTCCGTCACCACTTTAGAACAGCTTTTTCAGACAGAAAAGTGGAAAAAAAGAGAGGACCACCCTCACTCAACCAATCAGCTCTCAGTGTGTACAATAGAAAAGATAAGCACACACAAGATAAATGAACAATAACTATAATGAATATACAAAACTCAAATATAATCTCTAACTTTAGCATTTTTGCCTAAAAAAAAAGCAAAAATTAAGTCTAAAATCTTTAACTTCAGCATAATAAAGAAGTAAGAATTAAGTGTAAGATCTCTGACTTAAGCGTATTAAAGAATGACTCCAGCTGACACCCGTTTCTTCTGCAGCACCTGTCCGCGGGGCTGCGTCTGCGCCTCCAGGCCATCCAGAACCGGGTCAACCACCAGTGCCTGCAGGGGAAGGCGGCCGGTACTCCTCCGGTGGCTCTCCGCAAATGGCTGCAGTGCACACAGTTCAAAATGGCGCAGATAGAGATCCAGTCCTCTGAGGCCGCCTCGCAGTTCTACCCCATGTGACCGGCTGCTTTTGTCCAGCCCGGGTCAGGCCACTTCTCTGTTTGCCCCGCAGTCAAACCAAAAAGGACTTGAATGGACTGCTTTTGGGAGCGTTTTAGTATTGTTGTTGTTTTTATGTACGGGACTATTTTAAATCTTAAAGTGATATTACCATGTTTATATAGTGTGATATGATGGAAGAGAATCACATAATGTATCATATAAAACACAGCTGCTATAACATTGAAATTCATTTATAACTTGCTTGGTTGCAATAATAAAAGATCGATTTTTGATAAATAAGTCGCACTGCCGTTTCATAAAAATAGCTCCCTGGTTCAGAATTGTAATGTGACATTTAGGGCACTTTGAAAAGCCGGCTGATAAGGGAAATGGCCAATTTACCATAATGTAGATGGCCGACTGATACAATTGGTCTTGTTTACTGTTATTGACTAGAACCTGGAGCTCAGGTGTCTCCGGGAAAATGACAGGGCATGCATTAGTCCGCTCCTGTCTGTGATCTTTGTCAGTCTTTCGGTTAAGCTGCCTCTCGCCATCACAGCGCACATCGATCACAGGCCAATCCCACAGCAGCAACAGCAGCAGCAGCAGCAGCTTTGTAACTCAATAACACGGAGCCAGACATTGGAGGTAAACAAGACTATTTCAGCGGTATACCCCCATCCGCAAAGTGGCAAAACTCTGCATGCTCCACCGCCGGTCCATCGCACGCTCCCCCATCGGAGTGAGAGGAACAGATTGGTCCAAGTATATACCACGCAAAAACAATTACCTTTGGCCTAATGTGGTTTGTTGTGATTAAGCATTGTTGTAAGGTCTAACCGCATTACCACAAGGCTCTTGTCTGAGAATAACAGATGACATGACAGCAGGACTCCAAAGGCACACTGCACATTAATCTTTGTTCCGATCTGCAAAAATTATATTATGAAACTCTAATATACAGCGATGCTTAGGAGCGAATTGGTCTAATGTCTGAGATAACTCGATGTGGACTTTTGCATGTTTGCTTTGTTGTCACTGCATGTATATGAGGGCCCATGTTGAGACACTTGAGTGACTCACTAGTTTGGTAATATCGCACAATGTGACTAATAATTCCACACAGACAAAAGCCACGCACGGCTGACCCTTCACACTGCTGATTCAGGATTTTAGCGCCCCTTCTCCAGCCTCCAGCCCTCTCATCAAAGCTACCCCCGACCAGCGCTCCTCTCCTGCAGGTCTCTACGTGGATAGGTGAGTGTGTGTCTAATCAAGTCCCTCTGGCCAGGGGCTGCATCTGGCAGCTCGTACCCGCCACCACTGCTATCGTTTGAACTCCCTTCTTTTTTTCCTGCCAAAGAAGCCCTCTCTCATTAGCAGCGGCTTATGTAAGCAGAGTCCCACAGGTACCAGGCCTGGCCCCGCCTCGCCCTGCCCGGCTTTGGAGGCGCATCTGCGCGCTGACCTGATGAGGAGGCAGCTGGAGGTATGAGGGTAATTAGCACTGACCAAAGGGCTCTCAGGCAGAGGGCTCCTCAGACAAGCTGAAGGTCAGCTTTAAAGAGAGCGTGGATGAGAATATCCCTGGGTTATACATGTGGCATGAGGAGCATAAGTTTTACTGCACGAGTGCTTTCATTAGAATGTCCGTTCTAAAACTACACTGTTCAGATCTGTGTGAAAATCAATATTGATTGGTTGTTCAGGAAACCTCTTTGTTGTTGGTTCACAATCCTGCAAAAAAAGAGAGAAAATGTATCTGATGACATAATCAATGTTGGGGGAGTAGATTCCTTTTTTATTTAAAGTAATCAGTTACACAACTGTGAATACAGCCTCAAAAAAGTAACTTACATTACTTTGACGTTACCGCATTCGTATAATAAATCAAACTATAATTATAAAGAGCTGAATTTATTCCTGTTTAAAATGGGAATGCACACATTGCAGCTGAAGCCCATGACAACTAAAGGCACCATGTGATGTCCACCACATTGTCTCCATTGAAATGTTACTGATTTACCGTTGATGTTTTCCAATCAATCACATCTTACATAACTTTTATACATGAGACTTTTAAACGTCAATAGGATAATTCTAAGGCGGTAGAAGGGGATCAAGTTTTTTGTTTTTTTTGCGCAATGAACACACTTAAGAAAATAAATTCTGTTTATTCAAGTATATTTATCTAAGTCTTACATAGTCAGAGCTTTGGCATATGGAGAGGTTGGAAAACATGGAGGAAAAAGCTCCCACTTGAGCCAGAGCACTAGAGTTGTGCACCTTGACATCAGACTTGTTTGAGTGTGATGCTGCTGGACAGGACGCCTGGCTGAGCCTATACAGTGCTGGAGTCTGTAGCAGCCTTGGTCCCACTGTATGGAAATCCCTTCTAAGAGGCACATGAAGCTTGTTGAAACATTGACAATCCTCGGTCTCCTCGTCTAGAGCTGTCACATCGCTTTTATTACAGTGAGATCCACAGCGCTCTGGCTGGACAATGCATGAATGTTTAAATTGCTCAAAGTGTCCATTGGCATCACCGTCAAGTGGCACATCTACAGCGAACCGGGCCGAGTGCTGTGTAATTCATTCGCATTACTCTTCAGTGCGCCTCAGCTCCACCGGCTATAGAGGCTCGACTCTGCATTTGTTTCACACCATTAGGTAAATGTACACTGTGGGAATTAAAAAAGTGCCTGTAATGTTTAGTGGTAAATGCATTCATTGCATTCTATTAGTTTCCTTTGATGGTATTGCTTTGACTTTGAAAATGTCACACATTATGCATTCAAAAATGGCATTCTAATTCATTACATTTGATAACTCTTTGTGGACTCTTTCCCTGCTCAGACTAAGCCATGGTTGGAGTTGGAAAAGTAAAACTTGGAGCAAGAACTAATCAGTTCATTGTATGTACAGCTTTATTTACAACTGAAAACTTAGCAACAAAATCAACTTATGCACACTGCTTTCCACAGCTGTTTGGTTTAATGCATAAATTGTGTACTATTGATTGCCATATATACATTAATGGCTTGCTCCAACAACATGACAACATTGACTTAATTCTAAACAGGTGCACATTGTTTCAGATTTACTATGTATAAACATACTGTATGTAGTGTTACACTGTACATGAATTAACAGTAGGCAGATATTTAAATAGCAATATTTACATTCATGCATCCATTATCTCTCGTAGGTACATGGCGGGTATACTGTTTGCCAATTTTAGATGCAAGCATGAGTTTCCAAATGTTGATTTATTTAGCCAAAATCTATGCTTTTGCAGACAGCCACAGCGGACACTCCTCAGCATGCACCCCACAGAAAGACACACAACGAAACAGACAGCTTCCACACAGCTCTGTGGGACAGGCCTGTGACAGCCCGCTGGGGCCTCGCTCACAGAAACCTGAGCACTGCCCATTGGCTCAACCTCACAAGGTCAAGCTCTGGCTCGTGTCCCTGCTTCCATAACACTGGGCTAAGCCCTTGTGACACATGAAATAAAATCAAGATTGTCTCATTCAAACAGTAGATGGCTGAAGGCATCAAGCTGACCCCAAGACTTGAAGCAACAAGATGGACCAGACAAGTGGAAAAGCCTCACATTCTCACCACACACCCACACAGACACACAAACACACAGACACACAGACACACAAACACACAGACATACAGACATACAGACATACAGACACACAGACACACAGACACACAGACATACAGACATACATACAGACATACAGACATACAGACATACAGACACACAGACACACAGACACACAGACACACAGACAGACATACAGACATACAGACATACAGACACACAGACACACAGACAGACATACAGACATACAGACACACAGACACACAGACAGACATACAGACATACAGACACACAGACACACAGACACACAGACAGACATACAGACATACAGACATACAGACATACAGACACACAGACACACAGACACACAGACATACAGACATACAGACACACAGACACACAGACGTACAGACACACAGACAGACATACAGACATACAGACATACAGACATACAGACACACAGACACACAGACACACAGACAGACATACAGACATACAGACATACAGACACACAGACACACAGACACACAGACACACAGACAGACATACAGACATACAGACATACAGACATACAGACATACAGACATACAGACACACAGACACACAGACATACAGACACACAGACACACAGACACACAGACACACAGACAGACATACAGACATACAGACAGACATACAGACATACAGACATACAGACAGACATACAGACATACAGACATACAGACATACAGACATACAGACACACAGACACACAGACATACAGACACACAGACACACAGACACACAGACACACAGACATACAGACATACATATGGGCGGCACGGTGGCTGAGTGGATAGCACTCTCGCCTCTCAGCAAGAAGGTCCTGGGTTCGAATCCCTGTCGGACCAGGGCCTTTCTGAGTGGAGTTTGCATGTTCTCCCCGTGTCTGCGTAGGTTTCCTCCGGGTGCTCCGGTTTCCCCTACCACAAAAAAATATGTACAATAGGTCTGGCATGCGCCTCCTGTTCGGCGACCCCGCTCCCATCTCTGTGTGGAGTGAGAGACAAGTGCCCAAAAATAACAACAATTGTAAACCGCTTTGTGACTCTGGTCTGTGAAAGGCGGTATATAAATAAACATTACTTACATTACTTACATACAGACATACAGACACACAGAGACACATACAGACATACAGACACACAGACACACAGACACACAGACACACAGACAGACATACAGACACACAGACACACAGACACACAGACATACAGACATACAGACATACAGACACACAGACACACAGACAGGGAGATCTTGGGACAAGAAATGGCCGCAGCAGCCTTAAAGCATTGGAACATCACAGATGAATTATACTGTATGCTCTCTAGAAATGATTTGCTAAAAAACATAGATATCAAGTGATAAAATAAACTCATCAAGTTCTTTTCAAGTGCGGAAAATGTACAAGACAGTACAAAAATAAAGATAGTTAAATAAATAAAAGCATGAGACTAACTTAAGTATATTACAGATAGTTCTCAGTGGTGTCCCAGGCCCTGGACGTAAGCACGACCAACGTGCAGCCTCAGCTCCTCTTTATTAAAACTTCAGATTGCATAGTCGGATGAATCCATGTGTGGGAGCAGTCCAACCGCATGTCGATGAAGAACAGAAGATGAAGGGAACTATAAAAGGTTGCATTGTGTGTAAAAAGTGCATGCATGTTTGGTGGATGGCGGCCCGTGAAGCCCAGGGGACAGCAGTGTTGTCTCTTGCTCGGCTGCAGACGTCAACAGGCCTTGGATCTGCAGCAGACTGGCAGACAGTCCTCTCCAGTCAGCGGCCAACCAGGCTGTCAGCTCCACACGCTGCGACCAGGAGCCTGCTGGGCCCCCTCACGTACTCCACCATCCTGCTTTCATTCACTTGATTCCTCCCGCCGCCTGCCACAGCTCCCTTAATGCTGAATGTTGTCGTTTTCTGGGAAACATGCCAAACCGAGAGGATGGAGTCCAGTCCAGGTGAGCAGGGCTGAGGCAGGGCTGTTTCTGGGTGGGGGGGGTGATATGAGTGGGCCCAGGACAGTCTATACCACAGTGTTGTTGGTGCCCATGGCCTTCTTGTTGCGAATGCTCATGGCGTACTCCCCTCGACTCGTGCCGTTCTCTTCTTTTCGAAGTGGTTTTCTGCAGAGAGACACAGAGAGGATGAATCCCTGGGTGACAGAGATTTGAGATCATATTTGTCTTCAGCCATTAACTAGACTTTGTGACTGGTAACCTTTAGGCTGATTGGATTTCTCTCCTCTCAAGCAATCCTTTTAAATAAGCTCTATTTTCAAAGGCCATTTTGCAAAGAAAACATGAAGGACAACACTGGGGACCGGAAAATGAGCGAGAGCTATTTCATGCTATCAGTAAATGTGTAACTGTGGTGTAGCTGAGACTCGCTCACCGCTGCTGCGCTGAGTAAAAGCCAGCTGCCACACAATTCTCTTGTGGCTGGATGCCGGTGAAGAGCAGTATGATTGAAAGGCGTTCTTTATGCACTCTTTATATTTGTCCAGTGTACTGTGACTTCACAGCGACCCCCTCAGTGGGTGACCCTTATGTAAGGCACAGACAGACCTGAATACAGTTGGTACAGTCATTGTCCACTGGGCCTGTACAGTGCTTCAGCAAAGCAGGAGCCTTAAGCGACATCTTAGCTCCGTGTCTCTGAAAGCTCCACTGACCGTTCTGGTCCAGGCCAAAGCTTTTTGAGCTCACGAAAGGAGCTAAAAGGGAAATACTAAAACTAAAGTGAAGTCCCTGGGAAAGGATAGAGCAATATGACAATAGCAACGGGAGTCTGATCTGCTTTATGAGACAATGCAATTTTGGAGTTAGCCTCATGAGAATCCTGCTCTGTTCAATGCTACCCCGAGAGTCCATCTCACACTGCAGCAACTACAGTCATGTTTCAATGGTTTTGGTTTTCGAGAATGATAAAAGGTGCCTACATTTAGAACTACTTTAAAATCCATATGTATTTCACCGGGTTCAAATCTGTTTCAGAAATAAGTGTTGATGAAGTTTGAGAAGAGATCGTGATGTCTTCAGCACTCAGTAAGAGATGGAGAGAGGCGTAGGGTCAGAGAGTGTTTGGGCCTGCCTTGTGCGTGTGTGCGTTTGTGTGTGTGTGTGTGTGTGTTGTATCATCTGTGGTATTGTGTGACTATGTACAGTACATGTGGTATATGTAGGTTATGTGTTCTTCTGTATGGTTTTGTCTTGTGTTGAGTGGGTGGGATTGGGATCACTGTAGATAAAACCGCTTTTCAGACTCTGTTCTGTGACTTAATCTCTGTGAAATTGGTTCGGGTAGGTTTGAAATACATAATTAAACTATTGAACTAACTAATTTATGAAAAGGTTATTACTCATGATTATCTGTTTTGAGACTTCTGAGATTGATTTTTACATTTCAACAATGATGTGGCCAATGTGGTCTGTAATTATGTCATCACCAATGGGCATAAACTTCTTTCTTGAAATAAGAAATCCTTAAGTTCTGCATTAACAACATTGTAAACTATCTATACCATAAAACCATGTTTGTAGTTACACTCACGAATGTACGCAGCCCATTCTCCCTTCAGTGTTGTCTTTGTCAGAAAGTGAAATGCCTTCTTTCTTTATAATATTCCTCATAACAGTTATTTAGGCCACACCGTTTTTTGGTTTTCAGCCTGATGGCGGCTTGCTTCGTGTCTTTAGATCTAATAATAAAAATAAAATGGTACTGATTCCAAATGAAAGGAACACAATTAAAATATAGCATAGACCTTTTCTCTGCTCACGGGACATTTGATTGTGAAGGAGACAAACCAGGGAAAAAGAGGGACTCGGAAACGGTTCCAAATTCCTAAATCTTTCACCATTCCAATTACAGACAACAGTTAAAGCCCCTCCACCATTATTCAAGTCCATCGCTGTGGTCAAAAACAATGTCCCATGTGCCTTGAAATATGTCTTCATCCCAGATTAACCTTTCCACCTCATTATGATACCAAAATAAACAAATGCTATTGGACTTTTTGTTAGGAAAAAAGTGACGTTCTACTAAATATAAATAAACGGAAATGTCTTTGGGGTATGTTCCTGTAAGTTCTAGCTTTAACATGAGTTCAGTCATAAGAGAGATTGACTTTTTCCTCAATTCTTCTTTACAAAACAGCTTAAACAGATTTATAGGAGAGCATCTGTCAACAGCAGTTTAGAAATGGATTTTGTTAGATTTTGTATTGGCTTTAGGTCTAGACTATGACTTGGCCATTCTTATACTCAGACATGTTTTATCATAAACCATTCCATTTAATGTAAACTACTTCATTTTTAGGGCAAATGTCCTGTGTTTTGCTCCATCCACCTTCCCATCGACTCGCTGAAGAAAAGTAAGAACAGTGGTGTGTACTGTGATAGTTTTCCACTTTTAAAAATAAAATGCAGGTCAAATAGTTCAGGCCGCAGCTTCTTCTTCCACATGAACGAGTCTCCTGCTTTGCTTCTTGTGGCTTTATTTCGAAGCTGGCTTTGGATTTACCGCTCGTCCATAGAGACCAGAATTGTGTGGTACATGACTAATAGTCCATGTACAGATTCCTCCAGCTGAGCTCCAGAGTAACCATAGGCCTCTTGACAGCATCTCACATAAATTCTGTCCTGGTTTGGCTTGTAAGTTCAGACACAGGGCCATGTTTTGGTAGTTTTAATCGTGCCATACTCAATACTTTAAACATCTCTCCAACTTCATCCCTGACCTCTCTGGAGCTCTCTTGCACTTTGTGATTCTGTTTTGTTACCGATATTCTCTTAACAAGCCTCCGTGGCCATCACAGAACAGCTGAACTTAAAGAACTTATGAAGCAAAGAGATGAACTAAAGGAAGAAGCATCCACATCAGGCAGCAGCACAGTGTGGAACCAGTACAAGCAGCTGAGGAATTATGTGACCAAATTAAACAGATCCAAGAGAAAAGCTTATTATGGAAATAAGTTCGCTGATATAAAATCAGATGGTAAAAAAATATGGAATACATTAAATGAACTGATGAGAAGGAAAGTCAAGCCTGTACCAACATTTTTGGAAGTGGGTGGATCTTTTCTGACTAAGCCCATTGATATTTCAAATTATCTTGAATATCGTGAATATTTCATAAATAAAGTTACAGTTTTACGTAACAACATAACTCCCAAGTCAAATTCCCATTCATCTTGGACCTCAATCAAAGATGTAATAATGGGTGGTAAATTGTGTAAATTTAGGTTTGAAAAAGTGAGTACAACCGTTGTTGAAAATGTTCTAAAACTCATGAAACTCAAGCCTTCGGGCATTGATGAAATTGATGTGAAGCTGCTGAAACTGGTGCATGATGTGGTTGCTCTGCCTATTTGTCACATAATTAATTTGAGTTTAGAAAAGTGTATCTGTCCTAATGATTGGAAAATAGCAAAAATTGTGGCTCTACCTAAAAACAGCAAAGAGCCCTTTTCTGGAAAGAACAGTCGCCCAATTAGTATTTTGCCAATTATGAGCAAAATAATGGAAAAAATAGTCTATGATCAGATCAATGTATATTTTTGTAGAAATGGATTAAACTCGATGTATCAGCATGCTTATAAGAAAGGGCCCTCCACAACATCAGCCTTAGCTCAAATAACTGATGATTGGATGCATGAAATGGAAAAAAGAAACATTATTGGGACAGTATTGCTAGATTTGAGTGCCGCGTTTGATTTACTTGATCATGAATTATTACTGAATAAATTAACTTGCTATGGTTTTGAAAATTCTGCTATCAAGTGGGTCAAACGTTATTTAACTAACAGAGAGTTTATTATATTATTTAACGGCAGTTATTCTGGAAAAAAGACACTGAGTTGTGGAGTGCCTCAAGGAAGCTGTCTTGGGCCGCTTTTATTTTCAATCTTTACAAATGAATTGCCGTGTATTTTGAAACGTGCCACCATTGCCCTTTATGCAGACGATTCAACCATTTATCTGTCTGACACTAACCTTGCTAATTTAAATGAAAACATCTTCAAAACAAGATTTGAAATCAATTGAGGATTGGATGAATGAAAATAAATTGGTTATTAATCCTGGAAAGACCAAATGCATGGTGTTAGGATCAATGCATCACTTAAAAAATTCCCCTGGTATAAATGTGACCATAGAAGGTAAATCTATAGAACAAGTCACTGAGACCAAGCTGCTGGGTGTAACAGTAGATCATATGTTGACCTGGAATAGTGATATAAAGCAAATATTAAACAAAATGGGCAGGGGTCTGGCTGCAGTGAAGCAGAGCCGAAACTGTATACCAAACCAAATATGTAAACTATTAGTTGATTCAATTGTTTTATCACATCTAGATTACTGTTCTGTAATTTGGTCAAACACAACAGAGGCAAATTTCAACAAACTTCAAATAGCACAAAATAAAGCGGCTTGGCTCGTTCTGAACTGTTCTTTCAGAACCAGCATAAGTAAGATGCATCACCAGTTGTCCTGGCTGTATGTTAGAGGGAGGATCAAATATTCTCGTTAATATGATCAGAAAGATGATCATAACAAAAACACCAGAGATACTCTTTACTAAATTGACCTTCTTCAGTGATGTGCACCAGTATTCTACTCAACAGGCCAGGGACAGACGTTTCCTCTGACCTGCATGTCGCACCAATCATACCCAGAGGACACTGCACTACAGGGCCATGGTGGCATGGAACTCACTACCCCAGTTTCTGGTAGATGGGATGAATGCACTTGATTTTCCTTTTGAGTTTTCCTTTTCACTGAAGAATGGTACTGATTTGTTTTTGTATTTTTGAGTTGTATTTACATTATTTGGATAATTGAATGGTTAAAATGTAATGTAGACTTTTTTTTTAATTTAGATTATTTTTGTTGCTGCTGTTAATGTTGCCGTGTGGATGTGTTTGTCTGTGTGTGTATAGATGGCTACTGTGTATATTTGTTATAACGTTTCTGTATTGTTTGTGTGTGCGTGTGTGTGCGTGCGTGCTTATGTATGTGTGTATGTATGTATATGTATCTGTGTATGTATGTATGTGTATGTATGGTGTACATGTGTGGTGTGTGTATATATATGTGTATGTATATATATAATTTTGTTTTTGTAC